CAGCTCCGGGCATGGGCCTTGGCTTGGGGGCAGCTGCGAAATGGACAGGCAGCAGGTGAGACTGGAGGCCTTTGACCTCTCCGGGATGGATGAAGCTCATCAGTGCATAGGTGGGGAAACTGAGGCTCGGGCCATGCCTGTGAGCAGCGGAGCCAGGATGGGGCTCCCTGCTGGGCTGCTCTCTCCTTAATGCTCCTCAAGGATGCATTTGCTCCCGGCGGCCTCCAGCCATCTTCTCGGGGCTGCTCACGGAGGCTGTGGTGCTTGTTTTATTTTCACTTTTTGAAAACCGTTCCAGCTTCAAGCTTCCAATTTCCATGAAGTCATTGGAGCCAGGAGCCTGGCCCGATGCCTCTCCCCACTTCTGTTGAGGCCCCCGCTGCAGCTGGGAGAGCCCCCCCTCCCGGAGGCGCCGAGCTCAGGGCTCAGCCTCCGCTTTTGTGCAGCGGCTGCCGGGGAGCAGGAAGTGGTGGGTCCCAGATGCGCCCGGCGGCGGCGGCGGGTAGGTCCCCGGGGGCCCGGCTTCCCATGCGTGCGCCCGGACGCGCCGCCGAGCAGGGACGGGTGGGCCGGGCCGCCTCCACGCGGGCGCAGACCCTGGCCTGGCGGCCCAGGGGGCCCGGACGAGAGCCAGGTAAAGGGGGGCTGCGGGGCCTGGGTGGCCAGGGTCTGGGCTGCGGGACACCGGGGCGGCCCCTGGACACAGGACCTTACTACCGTGGCCGTGCCCCAGACTCTCGGGTGGCCCCTTTTCAAGTTTGTAACTGTACATTTGCAAGGACACTTTACTTCTCTCTGCGACAGTAACAGCGAGGGAAAGGCAACCGGGCTTAGTTTGTTAAGTTCAAAAGAAAAATACCCGCCCCCCCCCAAAAAAAAACCCAAACTCTGAAAGTGACACATGCCCAAGGAACAGAACCAAGATGCCTCAGGAAAATGGAATAGTCTTCCTCTCCCCCAGCCTCTCCCAACCCAAGCCCCCACCCCCCCACCCCCCCAGGGACAGACGTGGACCACTGGGAGTAAGTCCTTCTGGATCGTTCTTTGTGTTCATCCAAACCCATGTGTGGAGGGTGAAGCAGGTGCTTCGTTTCTGTGTCACCAGCTGGGGTTCAGGACAGCTGGCACTGGGCGCTTCCTCTTTGGCCAGCCCTTGGGGGGGTAGGGGGAGGAAGGCAGGGTCCAGGGCTGGGTGTCTGTGCAGCAGGGTCCCTGGCCCCCTGAGGCCTGGCCGGGTGGCCGGAGTCCAGGGCCGTCTCTGTCTGGATGGCTGCATGGCCGTGGGCCGTCGGCCCCAGACGTGAGGGTGGACGTGAGGGTGGCCCAGGTGAGAGTGACGAGGCCAGCCTTTCCCAGACGGGGACTCTGGGGGAGGGGTGTTTAGCCCATCTGTGGACGAACGTGTTTAAAATTTGCTAGGTATTTATTTTGATGCATTTGAGAAAGAAAAGAGCCACCCTGTGCATGGGACCTTGGATCTGTGACTTCCTGGGGTCTCTGTGCCTGGGACAAGGCTGAAGAAGATACTGAAACGAGAAGTGAGCAGACCTAAGAGGAAGTGCAGAGGGACCGGCTCAGCCGGAAGTGCAGGCGTCTGCAGGCCCGGAGTCTGGGAGGGTCTCTTCTGGGAGGGTCTGTTTCTGACCAAGCTGTGGGTCTCCCCACCTCCAGATGGGGGCCTTCCGGGGTTTTCTTGTGGCTTCCGATGTGAGGTGTGGGTGCAGAGGGAGGGAGGCTCTCCAATTGTTCCGGATTCTGGGCCCTCAGAAGGGAAGGTGTGAACTTTGTTGGGGGAAGAGTGTCCTGTAGAGTTTTAGTGCGAAGCGGTGGCTGTTTACTGGCAGCCGTTTTCTGGGGGCTGGAGACGGGGGGGTCTTGAGGGGCCCCTTGGCCAGGAGTGGGTCTTGAGAGGGGCTGTCTTCCTGTGGGTCCCAGAGGAGTGGGTGTGGGTGCAGGGAGGGCCCAGGCAGCGAGTGATGGCATGAGACAGGACGAGGGCCTCCACAAACAGGCCAAAGTTCTTTTTCAAGAGGAGGGAAAGGTCAGACTTTCTCTCAGATGTTGTTGTGGGGACGTGCATCTCCCCTTTATAGTTTATAACTCTTGGTCTGACCCATTTCCTGCTTTGCTCACCCCCACCCTGTGTGTTAGGTACCCTGCAGCCCCACTTTGTAGAGGAGAAGACAGAGGCCCAGCAGGGCACTTTGCTGTCCTGGGTCACACAGCGAGGCAGTCACCAGGGCTCTCCAGGTACACACACTGTCACAGAGAGCCACCATGTCTGAGGCCTACGGCAGGGTCAGGACAAGGTGCCTCCTCTTTGGAGAGGCTGGGTGCGGCCCAGCAGAGCCAGGGCTTGGCTGGCTTTGAAGGGTTAGTGGGAGGGGGATCGTCACTGTGGGGAATGAGAAATTTGGTTCCCTGGAGTAGGTCCCCGACCCTGGGCCTGGCCTGTCCCCTGTCTGCACCTGCTGCGCTGGGGCTGGGGCTGGCTCAGGCTCGGGCTCTTCCCGCCTCCTGGGATGTGTCCTGGGGTCCTGCTTCCACTGGGTGCTGTGTGATCTGACCCTTTGGATATCCTATCCTGACCCCTTGCCATCCTATCCTAGGGGAGATCGTTGAGAGGTGGCTGTTGACGCACCCCTCAATGCCCCACATCCTTTCTCCTGTCCTGGAGAAAGAGGGCGCGGGGCACATTCACTCTGAGCCAATGGCAACTTTCCATCTTCAGTTGCCCAGGCCGAGGGCAGGGTTCATCCAGCCGGGACCATTCAGGGACTGCTCAGGGAGCAGAGTGGGTCACCCCGCACACCGCAATCAGAGTGGCTGGTTCTAGCCTTCCATGGGGCCCGGTCTCAGGGAGGGGGTGAGGGGGAGCTGGGATGGTGGCCTCTTGGGCATTTAGCATGTTTGAAAAGAGCTGTGCAGCTGCGAGTGGGGAGTTAGTTGGGTTCAGAGAACGAGACCATCACATCTGAACAGCCAGAGAGGCAGGGGTCTTCTGGAGGTCGTTGGGGCCTCACTCTGCTTGCTGCCAGTGAGGTGAGCCCAGGTATTTGAGCCAGGTTCTGGCATCCGCAAAATGGGTTGCTCATGGTTCCCCATGTATCAGGTGGTTATAGGCTTAAACAGGGTGACGCGTTGCATCTGGTGCCGCAGAGCCACGATTCGAGGGGAGGTGTTACCGCTGCCATGTAGCTGTGTTTGGGGGCTCTCCTCCGCCTGTCCTGCTTTGGGTGGGAGGGTGGACGTCGCTGGGGGAGGGACCTGGGTGGTCAGGATGGGAAGGGCTGGGGGAGGGGCCTCATTGGGAGCCTGCAGCCTCTGGCTAATTGCCGTCTCACATCTGTAAAGTGGCCGTGCCCAGGCAGGTTGCCCAGAGAGCCACATACACCTGGAAAACTCTTCCCAAGTGTCTGGGCCCAGCACACCCAGGGCAGGAGTTGTCCTGCTGGTGGCCCGAGCCTTCCAGCCGCTCCCCTGCCTGGGCCCTCCAGCTCTGCCCCCGCCTCAGGCTCTGCCTCCACCCACCCACGAGAGCTTCTCCCACCCCAGCGCCCAGGGCAGGTGGCAGGGCGCCCATGCGTTGGCCCTGGGCATCTGGCTTGACCTGCTGCTGCCCCCGGATTTCACAGCCAGCCCCGTCAGGCCTGGGGTGTTGGTGGATCCCGGGAGCAGATGTGGGCCGGAGTACCCACCTTTCCCGATTTTCCCCTGCGAGCCCTCTAGGTATTGGGGTGGGGTGAGCCTTGGGTCAGAGGTGGCTCAGTTCCTCTTCCGTGACCCTTCTCTCACGACACTGGATCGTCCCTTCTCCTGCTGTCCCTTCTCCTGACCCCGAAGGCAGCTCTTTCCCAGGCGCTGTCTGAGCACTGGCCCTGTGTCCCTGTGGGGTGGGACCCAGGCGAGGGGGCCGGCGGGCTTCCTGGGTTCCTCTGACACATACCCTCCATCAGTTCTCCCGCCTGTGTCACGTTTGAGCCCCTTCTTCTGGCTTCTGGGGTCCTCTGGTCCCAGCCCCCCTGTCGTAGGCCAGTCCTACCCCTCGGGGCCACTTGTGCACTCTGGCCAGCACCCCCGACCTGACTCGGCCAGCGCACTGGCCTCACCCCTGCCCTCTGCCCGTGCAGCCCCTCTGCTGACTGCTGCCCTGCCTCACACCTCTTCCAGGCACAGGTCACCCATGTGAGGGCTTCCCCTTCAGGGGTCCCCAAACTCAGGAGAAGAGGAGGTTCCTGCAGTCTGCTCTGGAGTCAGTCCCTTGGCAGCCCCGCCCCCCTTGCTCTGTAGTCATCCCCCTCCTCTCTCCATCCTCCCCTTTATGCCCTGGTCTGTACCCTTCCCCACGTTGACCACTGGAGGGAATTACCTAGGACTGTGCCCAGGGGGAGAGAAACAAACTGAGGTCTTTGTTGTGGGTACCCTGATTCCCAGACATGGCCCCCAGGGCTTACCTCTTGGGCTTCCTCCTGGAAGCGGGAGCCCTCATGACCTAGGGAGGAGCTTGTGCCCACCTGGGGTTGGCAGCACAGCAGGCGTGGCTTTTAGGGAATGCGAGGCCATGCGTGTCATAGGCGGTGCCACCACCCATGCCTCAGGACCCAGAGTACCCCAGTGGGCACCTCTTTGTCTTCTGGGATCCAGGCCCTTGTCATCCCCTGCAGGGGCCCTTGTTGCCCCTGGGAGTAGTTCAGCGTCCCTACCTCTGGTGCCGCTGACTCAGGTGGATGGCTGCCAGGCTCCCTGGCCGGCTGAGCAGGGAGAGGCGGGAGCCTGCGGCCTAGCCCCTTTGTGCAGATGGGAAGACTGAGTCCCACAGGTGCCACAGCTTTGGGGCCGGTGTGCATTTAGATTAGAGCTGTGTGTGGGGCCCAGTTTCCCCTGATCTCACTAAGAGGCGGGGCTGTGGATGGGAGGCCGCTCGCCTCAGTCTCCCCACCTCTGCAGTAGGCAGCCCGACTCCACCGCCCGCACGTCTCCTCGCCCTGTGGGCCGGGGGCCTCCTGGCTCTGCCCATCCCCACTGCTGGCCTCTACACCTGTCTCCCTCGGGCCCATCCGGCTGGGGGAGGAGGAGCCCTTTGAAGTCAGCTGGAGGTGCTGCTTTGATGGGGGGCCCAGGCTAATGCGGAGGCGTCCTCTTTTGAAGCACCCAGACTCCCTGGAGCCACTGCGGGGAGGGGGTGCCCGAGTGCCAGGCAGTGCCTGTGGCAGGGACCGGGACCAGAGCTTCGGCATCCCTTTGTCGGGCCCTGCTTTCTGGTGGGATGGAGGAGCTTGGACCCCAAGAAGAGGGCCTGTTCTCCTGTGGGCGGCGCCTGAGTGTGTGAAGTTTCTGGATTTATAAGGAAGTTTTACAGCCATGAGGTCATTTCGCTGCCAGAATGGGCCAGGAGGCTGGGGGCATTTTTGTTCCCACTGCTCAGGTGAGAAGCTGCGGCTGAGGGCAGAGCTCACGGGACAGGAGCAGGGACGGCAGGGCTGGGCCCAGCCCCTGAATGCCCTGAATTAAGCACACGCTGTGTTTGGCTCAGTCCCTGGAGTTTGGGTTTTAAGTGTCCCCTCTGTGCCAGCCGGCTGTTGGGTTCTGGAAGCTGGGCACTGTGTACCCAGACATCGGCTTGTGGGGGGCGTCCTGTGGCCAGGCAGTGATGGGCCAGGTGCCCTGTGTCTTGGTGGGCAGTGTGGGTACCAAATCCAAGTTAGGGGGGAATTGGGCAGCCCTCTCCAGGGAGGTGGCAGCTGAGCCTGGCTCTGAAGGGCTGGGCAGGAGTTGCAGGGCTTGGGGGGTTCTGGGGGTGGGGAGGTAGGCAGTGCTTTTTAGGCGGCCAGAGCCTGGAGACAGAAGGGCGGAGCTTGTTTGGGGAACTGAAATAAGTCAAATCATACACTCGCGAAGGAGGCCTCTGGAAGCCCCGGAGGAGTCTTTTGGCCAGAGGGTGAGCAGGACTGAGTTTGGTGTTCTGGGGGACCCAGACAGGTGCGAGGAGCCCTGGCAGGCCCTCCGCAGGGGAGGCTTGTGTTTGGGGTGCGTGGGGCTGCCGTGGCCGGGGGCTCCATCACAGTGGCTTCCTGTGCCCAGAGGAGCCTGGATCTGGAAGGCAGGAGTCTGTGGAAGGAAGAAGTAGGGAGCTTAGCGGCGGGGGGCCCCCTGAGGCCCCTGTGCGGGTACAGCTCCAGGAGCCAGGCTATGGGCTGGGGGTAAGGGAGGTCAGCCAGAAGTGCTTCCCCTGCAGAAGGGCTCTTCCGGGCTCTGGGCTGGGCTTCACCCCGCGGGGCCCCTGCCCATCATGTGACCCCCTTGACCTCAGTCAGGTCTCAGGAAGTCTTGAGGAAGTGGGGTCTTGGCACCTTGGATCAGGCCTGGGCACTCTGGTGGCCGGTGCTGCGGGAGCCCGTGGCGGGGTCTGTGGACTAGGTGGGGACTTCGGGGGCCCAGAGTAGACAGTGGTGTCTCACTGGCTCCATGAATGGCTGGGGCGACATGGCCCCCAGAGTGGCCTGCTGAGATGTGGGCGGGAGTGTCTGCCCATCATGTTTTCCCAGTGACCTCTCTGTGGCCTACTTCTCTGCTCGTCTGAGCGGGAAAGGACCAGAGTGAGCGAGAGGCTGAGATCGGACTATAGCTTGGGTCTCCTGACACTCTGCCCAGGGCTCTGTCCCCTGCACTGCTTTGCCTGTGGCAGGTGGGGAAACTGAGGCAGGTGGCCTACTTCCGTGCATTGCCTGAGAGAGACAGGAAGTGCAACGGGAGGGTCTTTTCGTGGTTGGTATTTAGAGCTCTTTCTTGCTTTCTCATCTCCAGGGCAGATTGCTTCCCCAGCTAATAACTGCCTGAGGGCAGGGGCTGTATGTATACCCAGGCCCTTCCTCCCATCTTCTCCTCATCCCTACCGCAGAGGCCAATGCAAGGGCTGCTCCCCTGGGCTGCGTACTGGCTTGTCCTCCCATGTGTCCATCCAGACCTACCCAGAGTCAGGTGGAGATGGGACAGTGGGGCCTCCAGCCTGAGGGAGCTTCCTAGGCCTCAGAAAAGGAGAGTAGTGGCCTCTGTGGACCGTAGCTGCTCGGGGAGGAGCTCTGAGCTCCACAGTCCGTACTTCCCAAAAGGAGTTCGTTGGAGATTAATGCAAAAAAAAAACCCTTTGAATCAAAGAGATTGGGAAATGTTTAAATGTGTTTAACACAGCTGGTTTCTTTCTTGCAGGACTTCTCAGAGCCTTTAATTGCTAATGTGTACAGGGAAACTTTTTTTTTTTTAAGATTTTATTTATTTATTCATGAGACACACAGAGAAAGGCAGAGACACAGGCAGAGGGAGAAGCAGGCTCCATGCAGGGAGCTTGATGCTGGACTTGATCCCAGGACCCTGGGATCACGTCCTGAGCTGAAGGCAGACACTCAGTCACTGAGCCACCCAGGTACCCCTGGGTACAAGGAATCTTTAAAAGAGGAGGAGACTGTTAAGCCCTGTACTGCTGGTGACCAGAAACCAGTGTGGGTGGGTGTGACCTTGTGTGTGTGTAGCTGTTCGTGGCTTTGCTGGTGGAAATGTGGACAGAGGGTTAAGAAAGAGCTCGAGCCTTGGACTGGGGCAAGTCTGGGTTTGAATCCCAGCTCTCCTGCTTCCCAGCTGGGGGGCTTCGGACAAGTAGGTTAAGATTCCAGAGTCTACCTCTGGCTGGAAATAGAGTGAGAGCAAGGGCACCCTCACCCTGGGGGCAGGCCAACAGGGTCCTGCCCTGGTCTGTTCCTGGCAGGTGCTCACTGAAGTGGAGGTTCTCAGGGGCTGCTGGGGTTCTCTCAGTTGGGTTCAGAGGCTGCAGAACCTGTCCTGAGGGCGGGTGTTACGCTTTCTCTCCTTGGAGCAGGCCTGCACGGCCTGAGGTCCTGATGCTGCTTAGGGTGCTAGATGGCAGTTCTCTCTGCGCCCACCATCCCCCCTCCTCCCCCTAAACCCAGCTTGGGTGGATGGTCCTCGCTCAGGGGGTGTCAGCCTCTGTTGCTGCTCAAGAGTCCCTGACAGCAGTTTTTAGGTGTGACCACTTTTAGGCCAGGCCGCTCCCAGGGCAGAGTGGGGGGCCAGGGCTCACAACAGGGTCAGGGTGGTGGGGATGGGACAGACATCTTGGCCCTTGCTGCCAACTTGATACTTGTCCTCTCCACTTGGGTGCGCTGAGACAGGTGCAGCCTCGCACCCTTCCTGCATTACCCCCTAAAATCCTCTCAAGGCCCTGCCTGGTCAGGACATAATTTGCCCTTTTTTCAAATGAGGGAAACTGAGGCACAGAGAAGGTAAGGAGCTTTCTCGGGGTTGTGCAGCTGAGATGGGATGGACTTTGAGATGTCTGTCTGTCTTTTTTTTTTTTTTTAGTTTATTTATGATACAGAGAGAGAGAGAGAGAGAGACAGAGACACAGGCAGAGGGAGAAGCAGGCTCCATGCACCGGGAGCCCGACGTGGGATTCGATCCCGGGTCTCCAGGATCGCGCCCTGGGCCAAAGGCAGGCACCAAACCACTGCGCCACCCAGGGATCCCTGTCTGTCTTTTTTAAAACAGGTTTTATTTTTTAGGTAGTCACATACATACTTACATGTGTTCACACACATACCATTGAACGTGCCAGGAGCACGTCTTTCCATGTTAGCATATGTGTCACCTTAATTTTCAATTACCTTCTATTGCCCTGAGTTTTTCCAGTAGAGTCTCTATTTTTTAGTTTATTTATTTATTTTAAGGTTTATTTCTTTTAGTGATCTCTACCTCCAACATGGGGCTTGAACCCATGACCCTAAGATCAAGAGTGGCACGCTCTTCTGAATGATTCAGCCAGGCGCCCCAAGTTTTTAGTTTATTTGTTTATTTTTAAAAAGATATATTTATTTATTTTAGAGAGGGGCAGAGAGAGAGGGAGAGAGAAACTCGAAGCTTAGCACAGAGCCCGACAACAGGACTCGATCCCACAACTCTGAGATCAGGACATTAGCCAAAACCAAGAGTCAGATGCTCAACCAACTGAGCCACCCAGGCGCCCCTATTAAGAACTTTTATTTGCACAAGCTACATTATGACAATAGAAACAAACTGAAGATTCATTCACTCTGTGAAAGCAGCAGTTTTAGGTATACTGCGTCCCGGGTCAGGCATTACCCATTCTGGGCACTACTGTTGCCATGTGGATTTCCCCCCCAATCCCCCAGGACAGCAGAGTTCAGGCTGCTGCACCCTTTTTGAGAGCTGCATAGCATTCCACAGTAAGGCTCTGTTGTGATTTATTTCACCAACTTCTAAAGGGTAGACGCTAGACGCATGGTGTTCTTTTGCTGTTGTAAGTAATGTTGCAATGAGTAATCTTGTACATGTGTCATTTTACATGTGAAAGTGTTCGTAAGATAAATTACTTGGAGATTTATTACATCAAAGGTTTGTGCATGAGTGATTTTGTCACATATGACTCACTTGCCCTCCCCAGAGGGCTGAATCACACTCCTGCCAAGGCTCAGTGTGAGCACCTGTTTTGCCGCTGCCTGTAAATGTTCTATAAATACTTTGATCTTTGCCAATCAGATAGGTAAAAATGATTTTCTTTTTTTTTAATTTTTTTTATTTATTTATGATAGTCACAGAGAGAGAGAGAGAGAGAGAGGCAGAGACACAGGCAGAGGGAGAAGCAGGCTCCATGCACCGGGAGCCCGATGTGGGATTCGATCCCGGGTCTCCAGGATCGCGCCCTGGGCCAAAGGCAGGCGCCAAACCACTGCACCACCCAGGGATCCCAAAAATGATTTTCTATAGTAGTTTTAATTTATATTTCTCTTACTGTGGGTGAGGTCAGCTTCTTTCGAAAGGTTTAGCAGTCATTTGTATTGCTTTTCTGTGCACTTTCTGCCCATACTCTTCTCCCATTTTTCTCTTGGGTTATTGGTCTTTTTCTTATTGATCCATGGGAGCTTTTTACATATGGGGGAGATTAGCTCTTTACAATAAGGGTTGCAAATATTTCCCTCATTGCTCAGTTTTGGTCTTATCTTTTGGTTTTGCTCTTAATAGCTTTTACCCTGCAGTAGATTTTTCAAATAAGTTTATTTATTTATTTACTTCTTTTTTTTTTATTTTTTTTTTTTTACTTCTTATTTTTAAGTTCTATGCCTGGCATAGGGCTTGAACTCCAAGATCAAGGGTCGCATGTTCTACCGACTGAGCCAGCTAGACACCCCTGTTGTAGATTTTTTTTTTTTAATGTAATTGAGTTGACCAGTGTTTTCATTGTGACTTTTCAGTTTTCTCTCAGGTCAGAAAGGACTTACCCACTATGGCATGGTTATGAGAACTCTTTCATGGTTTCTTGGTCTCTTATCTTGGTGTGAATGATGAATCCAGCTTGTTCGATCTCCTCTGGGCTTTGCTCCCTCTTTATATATTATTATTTTTTAAAGGTTTTATTTATTTGACAGAGAGAGAGGGAGAGCACAAGCAAGGGGAGCAGCAGAGGGAGAAGGAGGCCCCCTGAAGAGCAGAGAGCCTGATGCAGGACTTGATCCCAGAACCCTAGGATTGTGACCTGAGCCAAAGGCCAGTGCTTAACCAACTGAGCCACCCAGGTGCCCCTTTCCTGCCTCTTTAAACAGGTTCCAAGCAGAGTAGTGACATTGTTCTTGCCCTCTAGTTCACATGGTTACTCTAGGTTATATCTGCCTCTGGGTGTGTGAAATGGATTTCTTCGCCCACCTCCCAACCGCATGCATGCCTCCTCACTGTTGGACCTACTGTCTGGGTGGGGCCCTGGGAAAAACATGAAGTTGGTGGGAAGACCACTGTCCTGCCATCGTGGGCCTCACCTGGCACCAGGTAAGGTCCCTGAAGGCTAGAGTAGCCCTTTCTGTCTGTCCTTAACAAAGGGAAAGAGATCAGAAATGTATTAAAGGCAGGCATGAATGTGTTTTCATTTTGAAGGGGGAACTTAGGGGAGTGCTTAAAGGAATGAATCACTAATGGTGGAATTTCAGGCAAGAGCCAGGGACAGTACTGTTCTTTCCAACAGTCCTTGGTTGGATCGATTAGTCAGTTAAGTACCGCTGCCTGGGCACTTACTGTGTGCAGACGCCTGGCAGAGAGGGCCATGGAGGCCTCTGCCTTCTGGGAACTTGTGCCTGGGGCATAGTTTCCTCTTTGCATCTGGCCTGGTGCCTGACACATGGAAGGTGCTAGTGCAAATCCATTAAAGGAATGAAGGCATGGATCTCTCTGAAAATGCATGGACAAATGGATACTTTCTCCCAGGCAGTCACTATCCTTAGAATTGGCAGGGGAGATAGTGAAGTGGGTTTATTATCCCTGGCAGCTGGAGCCTTGGAGGTAAGGGGTCAATGAGGTATTTGTATTTTTAAGGAGGGACTGACAAGGCGAGGGCTGAATCCAGGGGAGAAGTGGAAGGGAGGACTTCAGGTACAAAGAATAATCCCTGCCCCACCCTTTGAATGAGCCCTGTGGGGCCGGGTGACAACACCCAGGCTATCCCCTTCAGCTTGTTGTCCTTCTCATTTTATGATTCAGACTCCACGCCCAGCCCAGCGCAGGGCCAACCATTCCTTGGCGAGGAGGAAAAGCCTGGGCCCAGGTGAGGCCCAGGACTTGCCCAGGGTTATAGAGCCAGCTGGCGGCAGAGCTGGGGCTGGAACATGGGTGCTGAACCCCAAGAATGATGGGGAACCAGTGTTCCCCAGGAGTTGGCCAAGTCGGCTGGTGATCAGAGGAGAGCAGGGCGGGGAGCTCACCCCATTAGGGGACTTTGACCTTTGCCCCTGCCTCGTGGCCTCATAGGCTTGTCACCAGGGGGTGGTGAGATGAAGTAGAGGCCTCCTGGGGGGGCCCTGCCTGCCTCATGCTTCTGTCTCTCCCATTTGGACCCCCTGGCTGGGCTTCCTCGGCTCCGGAAGCTCAGCCTTCTTTCCAGGTTCACCCTCTCTTTTGTGCCCACAAACAGATGGTTGGCCATCGTGACCCGCACCCACTTGTCCCACAATTTGGCTGTCAGTGCCCCGTGTTTATTGATGAGGAGAACCGAGGCCTAGAGTGGGACCCGGGGACTTTAGCCCCACTGCTCCCGGCTTGCCGGGGGCGGGGAACAGAGCTGGGGGTTGAGCCCTCACCCCTCCCACCCGAGCCCCCCCTTCCCCGGGCTCCCTGCCCCGGCGCTTCTGCTTTTCTGAGGAAGACCCTTCCCGCGCCCAATGGTCTCTCCCTCCCCCTTCTAGAGAGAGCTGCCCTGCTCGCTGTCTCCCTGCCTTTTCTGCCTGGTTCAGGAGTCCAGCTGGTGGCTCATCTGTGTGGCCACCCGTCCATCTGTCTGTCCTTCCGTCTCTTCCACGAGCAGCTGCCAGGGCTCAGCCACGGGACACAGACCCGGACCCTCCCACGAGAGTTCGGTGAGGCCGGTGCGGGGATGTCTGACAATTGGGACCATTGACAGGCGTCTGGGGAGGTGGGGACGCTCCAGGAGGACACGTGGGGACGGAGGTCAGGCCTTGGGAGAGCCACGGCTGGAGGCCCGAGAGGCTGGCGGCCGGGGCAGTGGGGCTGAAGTCCCCGGGTCCCGCCGCCCCTCCGTGCCAGGACGGCGCTGAGCGCAGCGGCCTCTGGCTCCTTCACAAGGCACCGGGTCTCCCGAGGGGGGGGCCTTAATGTGAGACCCCTGAGCCAGTAAAGGTCTGCGTGGGACCCCGCGGGGAGGGACCCTGTCCGTGGAGGGAGCTAGTGCTGGGTCTGCGCTCTGGGTTCTGGGCTGCAGTGGCATGGTCCCCCGGTGGGCTTGGGGGCAGGGGCTGGGCCTAAGGGGCCCCGGGCGGGCGGGGTGGGGGCCTCTCCTCCAGCCTGTCTGCCCCTCCCACACACCCCAGAGCCCCCACTTCCTCTTTCTGAAGCCACCAGGGCTCCAGGGCCTGCTGGGCTGGGCCAGAGGAAGCCAGCCTGGGATTCCTGCCAGCTGCTTGGGTGAGGAAGTGGGTGCCCTGTCTGTCTGTGAAGGCCGGAGGTGATCTAGAACTCCCCAAGGGGTGTGGGAGCCCTGGGGGTGCTGCTGGATCAGCCAGTTCTGCCGGGGGAGGATTTCCTGAGCACCTCTGAGGGTGCAGTCCTGCACTTCTAATTTGAGGTCCTGGCTCTCTATTTCCGGCAGCTTCTCTGGCTGAGGAACCTAGACTTGCCAGTCAGTGTTTGGCAAGGAGACAACAACAGTCCTGCCTCAGTTGCAGGGAAGGGAGGAGAGGGTGTGTGTGGGTAGCTCAGAGGGCTTCCTGGAGGAAGTGGTGCTCCTGGATCTTGCTGGCTCAGAGCAGACTTCTTGACATGGCTGTCTGGCCTTGCGTCTGTGAGGCAGACGGGGGGGACCTTGATGGAGTCCACTGCGTCTCCCACCCTCTGTCCTAGGATTTGAGAGGGGAGGGCAGGAAGGGGTTCTGTGGTTGTCAGCACCGTGAGGGCGTTGAGCAGGATGAGAGGTGACCAGTGTTCAAATCCGAGCGCTCTTTTGCTAGCTGTGTGACTTCAGGAAAATGACTGAACCTCTCTGTGTTCCCACATCCATAAAATGGAAGCAGTAGTCCTACTCCCTTGCAGGGCAGGTGTGCAGAGTTAGAGCCCACAGCACGGGACACGCTGTGAGTGCTCACTAGACTTTGTGTATGGCATCACGCACCCCTCTCTAGCATGGGACATGGGGTTGCAGGGGGCGCAGAGCCCACCAGGCGCGCTTGGTGGGGCCAGGGGATGAAGTGGATTCCCTTGAGATCCATTTATACCTGAGTATGCCCCTGGACTCCCTAATTCCTCCTGCAGAGCTGAGTCTCTGGAGGCCACTGAGAGATGTGGGGAGTCCCCTTGCTCCAGCCACCTGCTGCCCTAGGTCCTGTGCAGAATGGCTGGCCCTGGGCTGTAGAGTTTGGGACATGGTGAGCGAAGTAGGAGGGAAGGCGGCTTCGCATCCTTGGCCCAGGCCCGTCCAGGAGGACCAGCCTTGTCTGCAGGGACCCACTCTCCAATCTGAGCTAACTCTGCCCCCTGACCCTGGACTCTGCCTTTTGACCCTGGACCCTGCCCCCTGTCCTGGACCATCAGGGAGGGTTCCTGGGTGCAGTAAACTGGGGCAGAAGGCCCAACATGAACCTTGGCACTCGGTTGCAAGCCACAGAAACTCAAACTGACTTGAGCCCAAAGAGGCATGCCGTTTGGTGCGATTAAATTATCTGGAGGTTGCTTGAGCTTCATTCAGGCAGAGCTGGATCCAGGGGCGTAGGGAGGGATTTTCAAGCCTCTGTCTCTCTCCAGTTTCCTGTGCTGGCTTCATTCTCGGTGGACTGTCTCTTGTAGTGGCTTCAAGTGGCTGCCAGCAGCCGTAGGTCACCAGCAAGAGAGTATCTCTTTCCCGTGAGTCAGCACGAGTCCCAGAGAGCGTTCTCACTGAGAGGAGTTTGGTCACAGCACCGTCCCTAAACCAGTCACTGGGGCTTGAGGGGGACGATGCTGATGAGCCCACCTGGGTCTCACGGCCCCTGAGCCAGGGGACTGACAGTGGGAGAGACAATCCTGGCAGAAGGAGGTTCCCCTCCTCTGTAAAATGGGGCTGCTTGCCCTGCTCCCTACCAGAGTGATTGTGAGGTGTGAATAGCAGTGAGGGGTCCCTGGCCCCCCTGGACTGTCCCAAGTGCCTATCTCTGCCGTCGGTATTTTTGGACTTCAGACAGAACCAGAGGGGCGGGGGTGAGGGTGTGACAGGGAGGTAGGGCTTCGCTTGACCTGAGGTGGGACTTTGAGCCCAAAGGATTGCCCACTCATGGAGAAGATTACCCCGAGAGGTGATGAGCTTCCCGTCACTGAGGTGGGCAAGGTCCTCGAGGCTGCAGGGTCATTTGTTGGACACGTGGCGAAGTGGTTCCTTCATCCAGGGCCTTCATCCAGGGCCATAAGGCCTCCCTGCCCTCCCAGTTGCCAGCTGCATCAGCAACCAGCAGAAGAACAGGTGATTGGACAGAGGCCTCAAAGCCTGCCCACAGAAGCAGGGGGTCTCTGTGTCTGGTTTTGGGGGTACTGCTGCCAGGGAGCAGCTGGCCTGTGGAGATGCTGCCAGGGGGCTCCCAGACTACCTCTCCAGGAGTGATGAATGCATCTCTGCTCCCAGCCCTGTCCTGCCTTCTGTCCCAGGAGCGAGACCAGGCCCCCACATGGGCTGAGGTCCCTGTGCCCAGGGCTGTCTATTGTCCATGTTCTCTCCCGCCTGCTGTTGCCCAGGAAGTGGCCTAATTAGATCCCCAAGAGCTGTGTTTACCAGGCCTGGGTTCCCACGGGCCCCCGGGAACCTTCCAACTGCTCCTTCCCTCTCCACTCCTGCCTCAGCCAGCTTCATGCCCCTGGAAGGGCAGGTCAGTTCTGGGGTGTCCTGGACGCACCCAGCTCTGGTCTGCGGGCTTTGCCTGGGGGAGAGAGCACCTGTGGGGAGATGCTGTCCCGGCCCCTTGGGGTTTCTCGGCCTGGCGGTCTGGTCCTGGCCCACCGGAGTGTGGCAGCAGGCCAGAGGGCCAGGTGGTGTTGCGTATACTTGAAGCCCAGGCCTTCCACCAAGGAGTTCCAGCTATGTGACCTTACGTGCACCGCTCAACCTCTCTGGGCTCAGTTCTGTGTCTGTACCATGGCTGTGATACCTTGGCCTCCACAGGTTCTGAAAATGAGAGTGGATATGTGTGCGTTGGCCCCTGGCATGACAGTGTTTCTGCTCCTGTGACTGTAAAGAGCTGGTTCAGGGGAGCCCTGCACTGGGGGCGTCTCAGGGCAGGGACCTTATCTTGTTTTGTAAACCCTGCAACACAGGGCTAAGCGTGTGTGGTTAGTGCTCAAAACATGCTTCGGGTGGAATTGAAACTGGTTAGCTCAGAGTTAGAGGTTACTAATTAGTGGGGTGCATAACTCGCATTTTTAAATTAGCTGCCAACACGCATAAGTGGATATTTCATGTAGAAGTCAGCTCTGCCGCCTAAGCACTTCAGGCACTTTGGGAGCCCTGGGCCGAGCCCCCACAGAGTTGCCCGGGTTAAACAAGTGCCAAGGCTTATGGGCACCTGCCTGGACCTGGAGGCAGCAGAGGGGTCCAGGACCCCTGGCCTCTGTCCCCTCAAACCCAAAATACGTTTTTTTTTTTTTTCCCAATTTGGCCCTGGAATTTGTGGAATAGGAGCTTGCAGAGGTGTCTGAGGTGGCTCTTGGGTCTAGGGTGGGCACTCACTGCAGGGCTTCACTCCGGCTCAGGGACTCTGGGGACCCTTCTCTTCTACCTCTGGGGGCTCTGGACTGCCTTTCCTTCACAGCTTTCTCCAGGGGCCACTCGTGACAGCCCTGAGCCTTCCCACAATGTATGGCCTCCCTGCCCTCTACCACCTGCCCTGTCCCAGTTCCAGGCCTCGAGGCAGGTCTGGAGAGAGTGGGGGGCCTGGACTCCTGGGCTGGGGCTGCTCCCTCGACACAGGTTCCTGCTGGGAATGTGGCAGCTGCCCCCAGACCCCAGTCCGTGCATGTAGGGATTGTACATTATTCGGTAATTTTTCCTCTAGGGACTGGGAGCTCCAGGGGGAGAAAGGGCTAGCCTGGCACATGGGAGGTGCGTGTGTAGTGGGCCTAGTGTGCTGCAGGCACGATTACAGGCCTTTTTGGAATAAATGAATGAGCCAGTGAATGACCGGTGCTGGGGAAGGAGGGAGTGCATCTGGGCTGAGCACTGCAAGCCTGGCACCCACTCCCAGCTTGTCATAAACGGTCTGCTATGTTCCCTCTCTGAGGCTCAGGTTCCATTTCTACAAAGTGGAGTTTGCAAACTTCTTAAATTCTTGTCAGTGGAAATTTAAAAAAAAAAAGCATTTAAATAATGAAGTCTTAGGAGGATAATTAACACGAATGCAAGGGCTTGCTCTGGGTGTAGCAGGCGTGGGAGGTCCAGAATGCAACTCACCAGAAAGCCCCAGTGATCGAGTAAATGTGATCTTTGCGAAAGGACCATTTGAACAGAAGAAAGTCTGAAAATAGACACCATGTGCACATCACTTGACTTACAACAAAGGTGGCTTCACTGAACTTCTTGAGGGAGGAATGGTGGCTTTGCCGGAAGCTGCTGGGGTGGGGGGGTCCCTCCACGGGGATCCCACCTGTGTGCAAGAAAGGGACAGAGGCTGATCCCTGCCTCATGCCACACACGGAAATTCACTGGGATGGATCAGAGATCTCCATGTGAAGGAAAACCCATCAAACTTGGAGAGCAGTGCTGTCCAGTGGGAGGTTCTGGATGATAGAAATGCTCTCTATCTGTGCTGCCCAATAAAATAGCCACTAACTGTGTGTGTGGCTCTTGGGCACTTGAAATGGGGCCAGTGTGACTGCTGGTCTGAATTTTTATTTTTATTTTTTTAAAGATTTTATTTATTCATGGGAGAGAGAGAGAGAGGCGGAGACACAGGCAGAGGGAGAAGCAGGCCCCCCACAAGGAGCTTGATGTGGGATACAATCCTGGCCCTCAGGATCATACCCTGAGCTGTAGGCAGATGCTCAACCGCTGAGCCACCAGGCATCCCTGAATTTTTAATTTCATTTTTAATCCAGTTAAATGTAGCTGCACGTAGTGACGTGTGGCTGGCGGCTCCAAACGGGACAGTGCAGTTCGAGGACACACAGGGGCTGGCTGTGCAGGCAAAGCTTTAAATAGGACCTAGAAGTTAGGTTTGGGTTAAGGTTGGTGGATGGGACCCAGGGGTGGTGAGGCCTGGCCCCTGCTCTCCCTGATGGCTCCAGCTGTCCTGGCTAAATCCCGGTCTGCTTTGTGTCTCCGCAGAGCGGAGGACCCCGCGCGTCTGGTGAGCTGGCCCCGATGCCGAGCACGAGGCCCGGGGGGCCGTGAGCAGGCCTGGCAGTGGAGCGGCCCGGGCCCCGCGCCGCCCATGGGGCTGCAGGCCCGCCCGCCAGGCCCCCCGAGGCCCGAGGCCTAGGCCCGCCAGGGGTGGGCAGACAGATGCGCCCCGGGCCGCAGGGTCTCCCGAGTGGACCGCCGGGCCGGGGGGGCCGCGGGGGAGGATGCCGGCCAAGGGGCGCTATTTCCTCAACGAGGGTGAAGAGGACCCTGACCAGGCTGCGCTCTACGGGAAGTACCGCCTCACCAGCCAGCACGGGCCGCTGCTGCTCACGCTCCTGCTGGTGGCTGTCACTGCCTGCGTCGCCCTCATCATCATCAGCTTCGTCTGCGGGGTGAGTGGGGCGGCCCACAGGCGGTGGTTGGGAGCCGGGCCTGGGAGGCCTTGGGCAGGCCTGACCTCGCTCAGCCTGGAGGCTGGTCTGCGAGGTGCTCCGTGGAGTCGCTGGGCGGGGGGAGGCAGGTTTTTCATTTTCATTTAATTTTGAAGTCGGGGGTGGTTTTAGATGTTACATTAATTTGGCCAAGGAAACTACCCTCCCTTTTCCCCCAAAACAAACTTCAATTGTGCTGAAGACCTGGGGGTGATGGCCCCTGTGTGGCTGCTCCCTGGCACTCCTCCTCCTAGAGCCCGGCTGTGGTCCCGGGCTCCTTCCGAACACCGCTCTCCAGGCAGACGCCGCTAACACCCTCCGTGACCTCGGCCGCTGCCTGCGTGTGGCTGTTGAGGGCTCGAAACGTGGCTAGTGCGACTGAGGAGCTGACTTTTTAATGAATATAAAATCAATCCAGAAAAAGCACACATGCCCAGTAGCTACTGTGTGGAACAGGAAAGTTCTAGAAGAAGACGTCTGAGCCTGCTGGCTATTAGCAGGGCACTGTGTGTAACGTGGCCGGCCCTCAGGGGCTCTGTCAATGCTGCCTGGATCTGCATGGCTGTAAACTGCAGGACGTTTGTTTGTGCGTTCAGCAAAAGGCTCCTGAGTGCCTACTGTGTGCCAGCCCCCAGGTCAGCCGCTGTGCCCACGGGGCTTCAGGGTGCAGGGGGAGACCAGGTGCTGGCCCAGCAGGGACTCACGTCTCCTGGTCACCCCTTCACGGTGTCACGCCTCTACCTTTGCTCCAGCTCATCCCCTGTCTGGGGCGCCTTCGGTTAGCATCTCCTCCATTCACTCTGTAACAGTCGGTGCAGTGGCCTGTCCTGCAGCGGGCTTGCCCAGCTGTGCCCCTATACTGTCCTCCCACGGGCATGTGCGGGGCACCCTGGGAGCAGAGGGGGCCTGATGGGGAGGGCTCCACAGGGCCTCTGCGCTGCACGGGGACTGGGGGAAGGTGCTGGTGGAGGCAGCCCTGGCCAAGACAGTGCAAAGCCCAAAGGTGAGGAAGAGTGTGGTGCTCGGAGGGAGCACTGACCCCACCCGTGTGGAGGAGAGCACAGGGGACATGGCTCGGGGCAGGACGGACAGGCTAGCCTGGCAGGCTTTCCAGAGGGGACGACGCCTCACTGGGGAAGGCTGTGGCATCTCCGTGTGTGTTTGCTCTGCCCAGGACCCCTCTGGACACCAGGCTGTCCTGGGAATGGCCTTCTTCACATTTGCCGCGTTTGTGGTTCTCTACGTGTTGGTGTACGTGGAGTGCCTCGTCTCGCGGTGGCTCAGGGCCTCAGCGCTGCTCATCTGGGTCTGCCTCATGATGCTGGGCTACATGCTGGTGTTCGACTCATGGATCAACACAACTTCTGTGCGGGCGCAGGTAATGGGGCCGGGGACCCTGGCGTCCCCTGGGGGGCTGGGTGCCACCAGCCAGCGGTGCACTTGGCAAATCCTGCCCTCCCTGGGCATCAGGTCCCTTTTGGAGACAGGGCTCATATCTGGTGTGCTGGCCTTGGGCCTTCCTCCTCCCACCGGCTGTGGTTCTGCCACAGAGGGTGGGCGCCAGGCTGATCTTGTCCATTCAGCTCTCTGAGCTGGACAGATGTCTGGCTGGAGCATTGAGGGTAGACCCTCGTTTAGTTGGAAATGACACTCTCCAGCTTGGAGGCAGAAAGGCACACATTGGCCCACATGCCTGGAAAGGCTGGGACCAGTCAGGACTGGTTAGCTCTAGCAGGAAGGCCAGGTCCCGATTGCCCTCCCTCTGCTCTGTTTTCCTCTGTGCCACTCCGTTTCCAGGCAGGCCGTCCCCAGGTTGGTCACGGATGCTGCAGAGGCCTGAGGCTGCCTGCCCACCGGCTTATCCATCTCAGCTACAAGAGTCCTTTCTTGACCAGCTTGAGTCACCCTGACCTGACTGGTCACTGTTGCCCAGTGCTGGCACCCTCTGATAGTGGGCTGGGTAGGCTGAGGCACGGGAAGGCCAGGCCCAGAGGGCTGGGAGTGGGTGCAGCTGCGCCACTGGAGGTGGCAGGTGGGCAGCTGGGCCCCGGCCTTCGGGTGATCACCATTCCTGTCGCTGGAGAGCCCCAGCCATGGGTGTCAGGCGGCAACTCCCTGGGTCACCAGGGCCTGGGGTCTCACTCCTGGGGAGGCCTGGCCTCAGCCTCAGCTCATAAATCAGCTCAGGAAATGGTGGCTAATATTGGCTGGGTCTGACCCAGAAGTGGAGTTTGGCTTTCCCAAGTTCCGTTGCGTGTTGGTCACTGTCCCTCACCACATGGGGAAGGAAGGGGCTGTGCTGGGGGCAGGGGCTCAGAATTCGGGTTTCTGGGGCTATTCCCAGAAGATGAGAGGGTGCAGCAGGGGGGTGATGTTGGCTCCATCTGGGTCTGGGTCCTACGGCAGGGGTGTTGTGGCCAGTCCCTGAGCCTCACCGATGCTCTGCCCCCAGGTACCCTTCTTCCTCTTCATTGTCTTTGTGGTGTACACACTGCTGCCCTTCAGCATGCAGGGGGCCATCGCGGCAGGACTAGTCTCCAGCATCTCCCACCTCCTGGTGCTCGGTGCTATCATGGGGGCCTTTACGGCACCCAGCATCCAGGTGGGACTACAGGTAAGGTGTGCACAGGGGCAGGCAAAGGCCTCTGGGCAGGGGCTGTGGCTTGGGCCTGAGGATGGGGGGATGTGTGTGGGTGAGTTGGACCTGAGGCCTCAGCACCTCCCAGTCTGGATGGGGATGCCCGGGAGCTGCAGAGAAGGGCCTGAGACCTGGTCTTATAGTCACAGTGACTCTAGGGGACCAGAGCCTGTCTGGGCTTCAGTTTTCCTGCCTCCCTGCGAAGGGTGCCAGGCTGAGCAGGTTGGAGGTCAGAGAATGCAGATGGGGTGCCATTACCAGCCCGCTGAGGGGTGCTGCTGGTACCCCAGGGCGCAGGCCGGGCTGAATGCTGAGCCCGCCCTTGGCTCGCCCCCAGCTGCTGGCCAATGCTGTCATCTTCCTGTGCGGGAACCTCACGGGTGCGTTCCACAAGCACCATATGCAGGACGCCTCCCGAGAGCTCTTCACCTACACTGTGAAGTGCATCCAGATCCGTCGCAAGCTGCGCATCGAGAAGCGCCAGCAGGTACGGTCTCTGCCTTCCCTGGGAGCCACTGCCTGGCCCTCCCAGGCCCTCCCAGGCCCCACGCCCCGCATCCTTTCTCTCTGCACATGACACACTGAACAGCATGTGCGTGGGGCACATGGCTGGACACCCATGCCAGCCTCACCACAGGGGCCGCCGGGGACATGGGAGGTCGTGTGTCTGGCTGGGTTGGTGGCAGGGCGCAGGCCAGCAGAGTTGGAGAGTACTGTGGGCAGCGCAGGTAGGAACATGGGGGAAACAGGCCAGGTCACCAAGCCTGGGGCCTGACGCCTCCCCGCCTGTCCCTCCCCACCGGTGCCCAGGAGAACCTGTTGCTGTCGGTGCTGCCGGCGCACATCTCCATGGGCATGAAGCTAGCCATCATCGAGCGGCTCAAGGAGCGCGGGGACCGCCGCTACATGCCCGACAACAACTTCCACAGCCTGTATGTCAAGCGGCACCAGAACGTCAGGTGGGCAGCTGGCCAGCCCTGTGTGGTGGGCTCCCCAGGAGGATTGGGGGAGGCAAATCCATGCCTCAGTCTCCCTGTTTGTTTTTCCAGGGGGTGGGATCAGATCAGATTGGTGTCAGGGGGATCTAGTAGTCCCCTAAAATTGTAAAACAGCATAAGTATGACTTTGGGAGGAAAGAGGTCCTTTCAGATGACTCTGAAGGGGACACAGGCCCCCCACAAAAGAGGTGAAGTCTCCCAGTTCTTGGTGGATTTGAAGGGCCTACAGAATCTTACTCGAAGGCACCAGCCTCTACGAACCAGAGGCGTGGGTGCCATGAGCTTGTCTGGAACTCACGGACTCTCGAGCTGGGCGGTCCGGTGCACACTACAGCTCTGGCTTCCCAGAAGGCTTCAGCCCCGAGCATCGGTTTGCTCATCTGTGGGATGGGAGCTCTACTGGGGTAGTGTGTGTGGGTAAAGCATTGGGCGGGAGCTCAGCTCAGGGGAACATGGAGTCACGTCTCAGCACGGGGTTTAGTTGTGAAGTCTGGGCAAGGGTGAAGGCCCAGGTGTGGGGAGGACATTCCAAGGCGCCCCAGCCTGCAGTCTGCAGCGGTGGGGGCCTGAGGGCGGCAGTTCCCAAGGGCTCTGCAGCTCTGAGGCTTGCTGCCTTTTACTTAATGCCAACCCTCTGGAACGTTAATTCATCCGTATGGCCCGGAGCTTCTTTCCCATCCCTCCGGAGGCTGAGGAGTGGCCGGGGTGATTGAGGCCAAGGCTGGTGGGTGCTCAGGGGCTTCCAGGGATGTGGCTCTGACCCCCTGCCCCCACCCGGCCCCCAGCATCCTCTATGCTGACATCGTGGGCTTCACACGGCTGGCCAGCGACTGCTCCCCCAAAGAGTTGGTGGTGGTGCTGAACGAGCTCTTCGGCAAGTTTGACCAGATCGCCAAGGTGAGCCCACAGGCCTTTGTGCCGTGCCCTTGCCCCCTGGGGATGACGTGTGCCCAGTGCTGTGCTGGGGTGAGCGTGCAGAGGCCCTGGCTGGACTTCAGCACCCAGTCAGCAAATGCTTCCGGGTGCTCCACCGTGGAAGTGAGGTTGAGTGGTGGCCACGGCAGCCAGAACCCTGTCCCCAGAGAGTGGGGCCAGTGGGGAGACTGCCAGCACACACGGGGGCTTGCACAGGGGCTCAGGAAGGCTGCCTGGAGGAGAGATGCCACCATCTCCCTGCACAAGAGCAGCAGAAGCTGGGGGAGCTGGGGAGGACCGCGCAGTGCAGGCCTCGCCCGCAGCCCACCTTCTGACAAGATCTCTGGTGAACCACACACGTGTTAAAGTTTGAGAAACCTGGGTGCCTGGGGGGCTCAGTCGGGGAAGCATCTGCCTTCGGCTCAGGTCATGATCCCGGGGTCCTGGGATCGAGCCCCAGGTCCGGGCTCCCTTCTCAGCAGGCAGCCTGCTTCTCCCTCTCCCTCTGCCGGCTGCTCCACCTGCTTGTGTTCTCTCTCTCTCTCTCTCTCTCTCTCTCTCTCTCTGTCAAATAAGTAGATAAATGAAATCTTTAAAAGAAAAGTAAAGTTTGAGAAACCTAAAAAGATGCTGAAGAGGAAATGAGTTCTGGGCAGAGGGTACAGCATGTGCAAAGGGCTGGAGTAGAAAGAAGCCGCTGGGGGCCCTAGGAATGAACGTGACTCACTGTGACTGGGTAGAGTGTGAGGGGGACAAGGTGCCAGGGGCAGACATGCAAGGATTTGGGGCTGAGGTCAGGAGAACTTGACCCGAGGAAGCTGGGGAACATGGCAGGTGCCGAGCAGGGGAGGGCATTGGGTGAAGGGGGTTCCCAGGTGCAGCTGAGCAGGGTGCGGTCTGGAGAGGGCAGGGCTGGGCTGGGATCTCAGTGTTTGTCTTCTTGGGCAACATGGGGCCCGGGAGGGGTGGTTGTGTGTGTGTACACGTGTGCGTGTGTGCGCTCATTCATTAACTTGTCAAATGGTCGTGAGGCCTCCCACGTGGCATCCTTGAACTCCAGTGGGGCCTTGGGCCTGCCCTGTATGCTGTGCGCTTTGAAGAGGGCTGTAGGCCGCCAAGGGGGCCTGGGGGGCACCTGGCCCAGCTTCAGGTGAAGACAGGCTGAGTGGCGGCCACTAAGTAGAGACCCGAGTGTTAAGATTTAAGGCCGTGGCAGTCTGTGCTGGCCGCGTTGGCATCATGTACAAAGTGTCAGTGAAAGCCCACACCTGTGCCCACACCTGGGGGAATGTTGAAGCGCCTCTTGGGGAGAGAATTCTCCATGTGTGGAGAATCAGTGGTCTGGACCCTGGTGGGAAGCAAGTTCAGGCTTGCTTCCCACTAGGAAGACTTTCTCGTGGTCGGGGTTGCCCTGTTTGAGGAGGGACTGCCTCAACAGAAGTGGCCTCCATCTTAGGGGCTGGCCACTGCGGGGTGACCAAACTGCAGGAGGACGCTGTGGCCAGGGGTGCCCTGGAGTGCTGTCCCTCAGGTACTGTGGACCGAGTGACTCAGAGGGCCCGTCTCGTCTGGAGCCCTCCCTTAGGAGCCTCCCTCCATGACGTCCTTTAAACCGGCAGATGGGGGTTCCTGGTAGCTGGGCCATGTGTGAGCTAGAGGCCTGGCCTCCGGTCAGCCACGGCCCTTCCCCTGCCACCAAAGCCCAGGGACCTGCCCTGTCCTCTTGGACAGCCCTCCATCTGTGGCGGGGGCAGGAGGCAGGATGGGGAGAAAGAGGCCTCCTGGCCGGAGTGTCTAGTCCGTGGGTGGAGATGGACAGGGCCGGTCCCAGACTTCTCTCCTATGAGCAGTCAGATTCCAGACCCGGGGCCGACTCTCCCGGAGGCACCTTCACTGCATCTGGGCCCAGGACCTACTGCCCCCAACACACTCATGCGGCTTCCCCGGTTTCCAAGTGGCAGAGTGGACCTGTCAGCTGTGTGGAGGAAGAGCCTGGGGAACGCGGCCTCCCCAGGTCCCTGGAGGGCAGCCCGGCTCCAGGGGGCCGTCCCATGCCTGGATGGGGTGGGGGTCAGGGCGGCTGGAGCCCCGAGCCTGTTTGTGGACATCCAGGCCCTCTCCAAGGTTCTTCCTACTTTCTAGAAAAGCCCGTGTCCTCTCATCGTCTGCCAGGCTATTCAGAACGCAGCATGTGGCAGGCGGGGCCCCACGGGAGGCAGCTGGCAGGCGCCCAGATGAGCTCCCTGGAAGAGGGTTTAGTGAAGGGGCTGCTCAGGGAGGCTGGGCAGGTGCAGGGGCCTCCTGGGAGGGAAGGCGCCCTGCCCGGTGGTCCAGGTGGGCGGGGAGGGGCTGGATGGGGGATCTGGAGACACGGGCTAGGAGACGCCGGCCCTTAGGGGCCCTGCAGGAGGGAGCTGGGCATCAATCAGCACCCCAGCCCTAGCTTCCCCCCCACACGGAAGGCCTCTGTGAGGGGCGGGGCTTGAGCCAGCTTGTAGCTCCTCCTTCAGGGTCCCTAAATGCCCATCCCAAGGCCACCTTTGCCGAGGGCTAACAGAGAGTGGCCACAGTACTACCTCAGGTGGAACCCCAGAAGCCTGCCTGGGCCCCCTTCCCTCAGGGGCATTTTCCTATATGGCCCCAGCCTCTGTCCTCCCTTCCATCTTTCTGTTATCTCCCCACTCCCCAGACCCTGCTGCTTTGCATCCCTGGCAGCCAGCCATCTCTCCAGTTACCTGGACACCTGCTGGCCCCTTGGCTTGTGGCACCTGCCACCTGTCTTCAGGTCCCCTATGTCTTCCACTCCAGCTGCATGGGCTGCTTTGCTGGATCTCAAGAAGCTTTCTGCCCACAGGGCCTTTGCACATGCTGTGTCTTTTATCTTCCTGGAATACGCTCCCTCAGATACTGGTGTGGCTTGTTCCTTCGGTTCCTTTGGGTCTTTCCCAAATGTTACCTTTTCTGGGAGGCCTCTCTCCCCCCACACCCCTGATTGTCCTCCTTAGCACTTATCACTACCACGGGTCTGTGGATTTTATTAGTCTAGTTTAGCATCTAACTGCCACTGGCATGCGAGCCGCATGTTGTAGGGAGTTTTGTCTGTTTTGCTCAGTGCTGTGTTCCGGTGTCTGGGGCAGGGCCAGGTGCTCAGTACACACTTCCACACTGCAAGGTGGAATGAGGCAAAGACAGCATCTCCCTCAGAGAGGGATGGTGACCATCCTTAGTAACGCTCGCTTTCATCCCTGGTGCTTGCTTAGGGGTGCCTCCTGGAGAAACCTTTGGGTGGGCCCAGAAGAAGCTCCCCTGGAGGAAGCCTCTGGAAGGAGCTGGAAGGAGTCTGGCTCCCTCTGAAGGGTGTGGGGAGGGGGGCTGGCCAGTGTGCACCCTGGTTCTCAGCTGTCTGCCGACCAGGCCCCTGCTCACCTTGCCCCCGCAGGCCAACGAGTGTATGCGGATCAAAATCCTGGGAGACTGCTACTACTGCGTGTCGGGTCTGCCCGTATCCCTGCCCACCCACGCCCGGAACTGTGTGAAGATGGGGCTGGACATGTGTGAGGCCATCAAGTAGGTACCATGCACAGGCCCGGGGGGCTGTGCCTATCCCCATGACGGACCTCCTGCTTCCCAAGGCGTGGTAGGGAACACACTGTACCCAGTTTGCAGATGAGGAAGCTGAGGCTTGGGTGGGGATGGCTTGCCTGGGTCACTGGGCAGCCCTGGCTGGGACGGGGTGACTAGACTGCTCTGCCCAGGCAGGTGCGAGAGGCCACGGGTGTGGATATTAGCATGCGAGTGGGCATACACTCAGGAAACGTGCTGTGTGGTGTCATCGGGCTGCGCAAGTGGCAGTATGACGTGTGGTCTCACGACGTGTCCCTGGCCAACAGGATGGAGGCAGCTGGAGTCCCGGGGTGAGGCTCTGCGGGACAGGGGTGGGGTGGTGGGGTCAGAGGCTATGGGCCAAGTCAGGGCCAGCTGAAGGGAGGTCTGAGTGGGGTCAGAGATGGGAGCAGTGACCTCGATGCGTTGGGGGAGCATCTGGGCTCTGCTGCCTGGCCCTGCATGCTGTGCAACCCCCGGGCGGGTGCCAGCCTTCTCTGGGCTCTGCTGCTCTGACTCGGGTCTCCCCCAGCCGGGTGCACATCACCGAGGCGACACTGAACCACCTGGACAAGGCGTATGAGGTGGAGGATGGGCACGGGCAGCAGCGGGACCCCTACCTGAAGGAGATGAACATTCGCACCTACCTAGTCATCGACCCCAGGGTACGAGGGCTCAGAGGCAGGCGGCGGGCGGGGTGGGCTGAGGGGACCCTGGGGGGCCCAGGCCCTGGGGCAAGACCCCACAGAAGGGGAGAGTTTTCCTCTTCCACGCGACTTCTGAGAAATAGGAGTGACGACAGTGCTGACCTCGGGAGGAGGAAGGGCTGGTCAGCATGAGGCACTCACCACAGACTGGGCACCTCGTAAACATTCTAGAAACGATAGTCACTGCTAGTTGATTTTCCAGGGCTTGTCACTAATTCCCTGGATTTTGAAAAGACGCGCTTTGGATAAAGACTCGGGAAAGCGGGGAAGGGCCAGGGGGCCGCGAGGCAGGAGCCTCGGTGCGTCGCGGGTCCTGCTCCACCTGCTTGGAGGCCCCACTTTGCTCAGGACCCCGTGGCGGAGGCCGCTGCTGAGCTGCTGTGGGGCCGCTGGGCCCCGGGCCTGCCCGCGCCCACACAGGCCCTTCTTTCCTGCCGCGGGAGGCCAGCTCGTCTGGCGGCCTCGGTGAATCATCCTTGGGGCTAGCTCAAGAATGTCGGCCACGACGGGCTCTTTCCAGCTCCTTCTCGCTCTGGCCTTGGCCGTCCTGTCCTCCGTGCTGGCCCGACTGCCAGTCTCCGGGGGAGCGGAGGGCCAGCCGGCAAGCCTCCCCGGCCCCCAGATGTTCCCCAGGGATGAGAGCTGCCCGGTGCCCTCCCCTCCCCAGCTGGGCCCTGGGCCATGGATGCTGAGCTGGCATCCGGGGAACCCTTTCTGGGTACTGGCTCGCACCCCACGGCTCTGGGCCCTGCCCTCATCTCTGACCCACCCCACCCCACCTTCCTTCCTCCTGAGTGCCCGTCACTCCAGCCCCTGTCCCTCCACTGCCGGGCTTCTTGTGCCGCAGGACCCTTGTCAGTGCTGCTGTCTCTGTCCCCAGCCCTCTTGGCTCGGTAGCACATGCTCCCCTTCCTTTATTCTCTTTGCTTGTTTATTGTCAGTGTGGGCTCCCTGGGGTGGGCCTGGGGTGGGGGAACCTCTTCTGCAGGCTGCGGTCACCATGTCTAGAGCAGTGCCTGGCAGTGGAGCAGGTGCTCCGAGAGCTTGTGTACAGATGAAGCGGAGCCCCGGCCCTGCACTGCGGTGGCAGACAGGCCCCCAGCCCTGGCCCATGGGGCCGCCCCTCAGCAAGGCCGCTCTGGGACTCGTAGGCAAGCTTCAGTTGCAGACCAACGACGAAGACATTTTTATTTTATTTTATTGCATTTTAAAAAAGATTGTATTTATTCATGAGAGACCTACAGAGAGGCAGAGACACAGGCAGAGGGAGAAGCAGGCTCCCTGCGGGGAGCCCGATGTGGGACTTGATCCCAGGACCCCGGGGTCACAACCTGAGCCAAAGGCAGATGCTCAACCACTGAGCCGCCTGATGTACACATTTTAGCATGTGTGTCTTTTGTGCAGGATTTAACTGGGCATCCTTCATTTTTTCCAGCCACCCTACCTTCCCTGTATTTGTCGAATGTCATTTGTTCGCATAGTTGAAAATTCAAAAACCCCAAAGGGGGGGTTGTAGCCAGTCCCCATCACGTCCTATCCGCAGCCGGCACGTCCCTTCCGACTGGGGTTTCCCTCCCACAGGGATGTCGATGTCTATGTGAGTAGTTGAGAGACTCCCATCGCCCTCACGAAGCCCAGGTGCCTTGCTTCCTTGGCCTGACGACGTATTTTGGAGGCCCGCCCTGTGTGTGCAGAGGGGCCACTGTACGCGTGCTCAGGCGCGCGGATCTCCGGTGTGGCCGTGGCAGGTCTTCCCCAATGTTGGCCTCCGTAGGTGTGACGACACCTGGGGGATAAGCCTCCAGAGGTGGCAGGGGGCAGGGGCGGTCACCTGTAGCTGGTGGAGGTCTGGAGGTCGCAGGTGCCCACTTTGGAACAGGTGCCTTTTTACTCAGAGCCGATGGATCTTTAGTGCACATTTATTTCTCTGGGGGCCCCGGTGTCTGAGAAGTGCTAGCGACCCTGACCTTGAGCGCAGGGTGCTGCATGGACAGAGTGGCCGACCAGCGGAGGGGTGACCCAGCATGTGCCTCCGCCCCCAGCTCCAGGGATCGGGCCTGTCACAGAGCCTGGGTTCCAGCTGTCCCCGCCGGCCAGGCAGACAGGCGCATTTCAGGCTTTAAAAATGTTTCTATCCTGAAACGAGGCCAGAAGCTTCCAGGAAAGCTGCCGCCTGTGGCTTAGCGAGTGTTTGTGGCCGTAGGTGCTGGTCCTTGTGGGCGTTGGCAGGGACCCAAGGGGACAGGGACTCCGGGAAGGCAGAACCCTCGGAGGGTAGGGAGACTTGGAGATGGGTCAGGCTTGTCTCCGGCGGCCTCGGCGCCCTCTTCTCTCCTGCCCGTCCTCCCAGTAGGGACCGTCCCCAGCTGCTGTTCTTAGGGGGAGGTGGTGGCGCAGGGGGCCCTGCAGGAGGCAGAGGCTGGCTGAGCCACCCTCTCCCCGACCACAGCAGGCACATGGCAGGTAACGGTCCCTGCCGCGGCGTGGGGGCCACACGAGTGGAACCCCCTGGAACACTGCCCAGGGGCGGGGCTGGCGCTCTGCAGGCCGGCTCTCCGCCTCTCTGGGTTCCTGGCCGCACTCCTCTTCCTCCAGCTGCTCCCTTTGGGAAGGACATGTGCCGACCACATGTGGGTGGGCCGGGTAGGCTGCTTGTGGCTTTCCTGGGCGCTGTCTCCCCGGGGTGTCTCTGGGGGGAGAGGCCAACGGGCTTTCAGGCCCCAAGGGGTCCACAGAGCCTCATGGGGCCGGCGGGGCCTCTGGGCTGAGGACTTTCGCTCCATCTTTCCCTGGGGAGGCTGAGAAGGGTCTGAGGGGCCATGCACAGTTGTATGTGACCCCTGATCTCCCGGCCACCTGGGAAGGACAGGGCCTGTGCCCAGACCTCCCCGGCAGCCCAGCCAAGGCGTGCACTGGGCCCCAGCCAGTCCCCAAGGGACTGCAGACGCAGCGGCATCTCTGCCCTTCTCTCTTTCCACCAGCCTGGCCAGCAGCGCTCTGGGCATCATTGCGTTTCAGGGGGAGCAGGCTGGGGGCGGGTGGGGAGCCCCTTCCTGGGCCGAGAGGGAGAGGACAGGCCGGGCCGTGTCTATGTCTGCCTGCAGAGCCAGCAGCCGCCCCCGCCCAGCCAGCACCTCCCCAAGCCCAAGGGGGACGCAGCCCTGAAGATGCGGGCGTCCGTGCGCATGACCCGCTACCTGGAGTCCTGGGGGGCCGCGCGGCCCTTTGCGCACCTCAACCACCGTGAGAGCGTGAGCAGCGGCGAGACCCCGGTCACCAGGGGTCGGAGGCCCAAGGTAGGCCCATCCTGTCCAGACACCGGCCCCGCACGTCTGAGAGTGCGGGAGACGAGAGCCCCCAGTCCTGGGACAGACGGCGACATCATATAGCGGTAATAACGTTAGCATAACTGCCCCCCACTTCCCTTCCAGACTATTCCCCTGCGGCGCCACCGGACCCCTGACAGGTACGTGCACTGTCCCCTTCTCTCTGTTGACCATGGCCTGCTTTCCTGGCCAAGTCCTGATCACCCCCGTAGGGTCTGCCCTGACCATCCTCTGTCCGGGAGGGCAGCTCAGAGGGGGCGGCCCTGACCATGCAGGTTGCTGTGGCCTGGAATCAGGACTTCATGAACACCAATGGCGCGCCTGTGGCTACGCAGCCCGCACCCCATAGCGGGGGTGGTGGGTGGTGGGCTTTGTGCTGCGCTGCTGGCCAGCTGGGCCTGCTGCTCGATGCTGGGCCGCCGCTTGCTCTCCCTGGGCCTCGGTGGAGCCCTCCTGCTCCTCTGCCACCCCACATGAGGCTCTGGGGACCCAGGCAGGTGAGCCGGCTCGTGTACACTCCGGCCCTTGGGCAAGTGGACGTGGTCCTGGGCTGATTGTGGGTTTCTGATCCAGGAGCGCATCCCCCAAGGGACGGTCGGAGGACGACTCCTACGATGAGGAAATGCTGTCAGCCATCGAGGGGCTTAGCTCCACGAGGTGCGACCCCAGGGCCTCTGCCCCCATCCCCCTCAGATGGGGGTTCCCCACGTGGCCAGGCTCACCTCGTGCCTGAGTGCCTGGTGGCCCAGCTCCAGCCCCGTGGTGGCTCCTTTGCCTCCCCCATGTGGTGTCCTGAGCAGACCTCTCCCCCCACCTCCCTGCCTGGGAGGGTGGGGCCCCATTCCTGATCCCCCATCCCCCATCCCCTCCTTTCCGTCCTCCTCCCCCTGTGGGTGGGCCCTGCCCCCTCCCCACCTCCCTTCCCCCATCTCCTGGGTGGACCCTGCCCCTCCCTCTCCCCCTTCTTCATCCCCCTGCCCCCTCCCCCTTCTTCATCCCCTCCTCCCCTTCCTCCTTCTTCCTGAAAGTGGGCTCTCCCCCTTCCTCCTCCCCTTCCCCTCCTTCCTCCTCCCCTCCTTCCTCCTCCTCTCCTTCCTCCTCCCCTCCTTCCTCCTCCCCTCCTTCCCCTCCCTCTCCCCTCCCCCTCTCCATTCCCTCTTCCCCCCATCCCCTTCTGCGGGCGGCCCTCCCCCCACCCCCTCCCCTGTCTGGCCAGGCCCTATGTCTCACTGCCTGTGTCTGCCTCCCCGCAGGCCCTGCTGCTCCAAGTCTGATGACTTCTACATGTTTGGATTCTTCTTCGTGGAGAAGGGCTTAGAGCGAGAGGTGAGCCCCCCCAGCAGCCCAGGAACAAGGTCTCCAAGGCCTGGGGGCTGCGCTTAGGCCACAGAGCAGCCACCACTCCCACGTCTGTCCAGGGGGGGTGATGGGGAATCCCCCAGCTGGCTCCCAGGGTGGGGTGGGGGCCCGTCCAGCCCTGCTTGGCCTCTTCTGTTGGCCTCACTCCTATACCTCACGTGCCCCGTTAGTGACTCTCCCGCTGAGTTTGGGAGACCTTGGCTCCCTTCGTGTGCTAGAACCTCAGTGGATAAGGGCCAGTGCACGCCTTATCTGGGCAATATCAGCCTTACAACCGGGAAAAAACCCAGCTTAGTATCAGCTGTCGAAAGGAGCCAAGTGGTTCTCTCTTCTGGCTGCTGCGTACATTTGAACCACTACCAACTGTTTACTTACTTACTGAGGGCCTGCGGGTTCTGGCAGTGTCCCAGGCCCACACAGTATGCGTGTTATGTCCTTGGAACCTCACACGGCTGAACAACGCGGCCACTGCTGCCCATTTCACAGATTCTCAGGGCCACCTGCATCTGGTGCGGCCTGAGAGGGTGGCCCAGGCCACAGGGCTCTGGTGCTGGGACCTCCCTCCCCTCTCTGCTTCCAGGATTGGGGGGGGGGGATGGGGTCTTTCCCTGGCCGGGGCTTCCCGAGGTGGCGTAGGCTCCCTAGGTGAGGGGGCTCCCTAGGTGAAGAGCACGGGGCCTGAGGGAAACCTGCAGCTGTGTGACCCTGGGGCAGGCTCCCAGACTCCCTGAGCCGGGGTGTGCTCACTCGAAGCAGGAGTCCTCGTGGCCCTAGATCATGAGATTGTGCCCGGGGTAGAGTCACGGGCAGCATGGGGTCCTCTTGTCCCCTAGCTAGGGACTCAGGCCCGGCCTCACTCCTGAATTTGGGGGCGGACAGACCCACCACCAGCTCCAGAGCTCAGACTTGGTTCCCATTCACAGGCTTGGGACCATGGGCTTCTCAGGGAAATAGAGTCAGAGACCTAGGTGATGTGGGGGAGGGGAAGGGAGCAAGGCACAGTGGAACTGAATGAAGGTCATTTAGTCATGTTGATGTCCCATCATCACCTGGAACCCAAGGAGGGTGTTAGTTGTTTTTTTTTTTAAAGATTTATTTATTTGTTTTAGAGATTGAGCGAGTACACATGCACAAATAGGGGGAGGGGCAGAGGGAGAGGGAGAAGCAGCCTCCCTGCTGATAAGGGAGCCCCATGAGGGGCGCGATCTCAGGACCCGCGATCTCAGGACCTGGGATCGTGACCCGAGCTTAACAGACTAAGCCCCCCAGGGGTGTGAGGTTTGATGACCTTGAGCCGGGATGGGCCATGGGGGGGGGGGTCAGAGCAAGTGGCCCTGCAGGTGCCAGCCCTGACAGCCCCTGTCGCCCCCAGTACCGCCTGGCGCCCATCCCCCGGGCCCGCCACTACTTCGCCTGTGCCAGCCTCATCTTCGTCTGCATCCTGCTGGTCCACGTCCTGCTCATGCCCAGGTCGGCCGGGGTGGGCGGGATGGGCAGGTGTGCTGGGGTCGGGCCAGGAGGGCAGTGCCCGGCAGGGCCCCCAGAACACCTGCGCGCACTGCCTGAGCGGCAGGAAGGGGCCGGTTCTTTGAATTCTGTGACTGAGACCTGGAATCCCAGAAACTGGATCAGGGGCTGTGGCCCCACACCTGGGGTCAACGGGGCTTATTTTTGTTTCCAGGCCTCTCCGTCTCGCACGCACCTCACCTGCCCAGTCCCCTGAGACCCGTGTGGCCCTGGGGGATGTCAGTGTGCCCCTGTTGCCTGAGACGTTTGCTGTCCCAGAAGGGCAGACTCCCAGAACCGTGGCCGCTGCCATCTCCCTCTTAGATTGGGAAACAGGCTCGCAGGGCTTCACGCCCTGTCTGGGTACACGGCCAGGATCTCAGGAGCCCCGAGATCCGTGCGGCTGCCTCAGGGCCCCCGCGGGTGGGAGAAGGGCAGCGGGGAGGTCCTGGGGAAGGCGTCAGGACAGCTACTTGGGGGCTAAGGGAAGGGTGGTGAGGCCAAAGGATTCATCAGGATTGAGGTTTAGGATGCGCTTAATAAAGACCAAATGGGAAACCTTTCTGCGTGGTACTCGTGTGTCTGCTGTGGGTCCGAAGGCTGCGTGGCCCCTTCCTTAGACACTCGGCCCAGACATCTCCTGTCGTGAGCGGGGCCGCTGGAGCACAGTTCTCAGAGATCCCATGGCTGTGTGTAGATAGCAGTTTGGGGGTGTGGGGCAGGAGGTGGCCAGGAGCCCAAGAATTGGGTGCTGGGGGTTGGGGAGCCTGCCTGCGGCTTGGCCCTGGACCGACGGTCCCCCAGAACCAGGGTTTTCTGCTCTCCAGGATGGTGACTCTGGGTGTGTCCTTCGGGCTGGTGGCCTGTGTGCTGGGGCTGGTGCTGGGCCTCTGCTTTGCCCACAAGTTCCTGGTGAGTGGGAGGCCCCTGAGTGGGCCCCGGCCGGGCCCTGCCCCACTGGCCCTCCGTGCCCTCCTGCCTGGGTGACACTTTGCAGAGGGCTTCTCCCAGTAATTCCACCTTCCTAGCTGCTGGTGGTCCCCAAGTGGCTGTGCTGTCCCCGCCCCTAAGGGTGGGGGCGTCCCTTCTGTCTACACCCCATGTGTCCTGGGCATGGGGCATGGCACGCATGGAGACTGTCCTTCTCGGGCCCCCTCATATCTGCCGGACCCTGGGACTGAGGGGTGCTTGTCTGGGTACGGCACCAGCCACCTGACCCTGTGACTCCACAGAGGTGCTGCCCGGCGCGGGGTACGTTGCAGGCCATCTCCAAGAGGGTGGAGACCCAGCCCCTGCTGCGGTTGTCTCTGGCCATCCTGACTGTTGGCAGCCTGCTCAGCATCGCCATCGTCAACCTGGTGGGTCCTGGGCGTGGGGGCGGCGGGCCCTGGCGAGGAGCCCTCCTAGGCTCCTTCTGTGCACTCCTTCTGTGTGTGCTTCCTGGGAGCGGAGGAGCCAATCCTTGGCCCTGGGCACCTTCAGGTCTCGAATCCCGTAGCTAATGCCCGAGAGCTGCAGCTGGTGCAGAGCCAGGCCAGGCCCTGTGGGGCTCCTGCAGCTGGCCTGTGCCCCGGCCCCTTCGGTTTTCACACGAGGACCTAATGCCCCCAGAGGGCTTAGGTGGCCAGCCCCACAGGGACGGGATGCCTTGAACCCCCTGTGTTCTTGGGATCCTCTACCTTCTTTGTGGCCCCCGGGGGAGGCCTGGCTTACCCTGAGGCTCCATTTCCTTGCTAGGGTGAGTGGCCCCCAGCACAGCCTGGGGGGACCCCTGGTTCTCAGGCCTTGCTCACATGCTCACTGCTGCAGACAGGCTTGTCCCTGCTGGCCCTCCCAGTTCTGATGGCTAGAGCCAGGGTCTCTCTGTGTCCCTGACACCCTGTGACCACCACACTCAGTGTCACCTGGGGAGAAGGGGCTCATTGACAGTGCCGATCCCCACTCCTGCCCTGCCTGCCCCAGCCCCGTATCAGCCTCTCCTGCTCTCGCGATGGTGCACATGGGTCTTCATTTTCCACGCTTCTCTGCTCCAGACCCCTCCCCACATGAAGCTGATGCCTGTGGTGGGAAGTCGGGGCACCGCGGCTCTGGCCGTGCCCGGAGCTGGGCCTGGCAGGAGATGCCCGTGATGCTCATGGAGGCCTCGGGCCCCTGCCTCCCACCAGCCCCGCTCGGCCCCGGCTGGTCTTGGAGTCCTGGGTCCCTGGACCTCCCCTCACAGTCGCCTGTCTCCTCTGTAGCCCCTGATGCCTTTCCCAGCCCTGGGGCTGCCTGCGGGCAACCAGACGAGCCTGAGTCCGAGTCCAAAGGCCATCAGCAGGGAGCTGATGCCGTGCGACCTCCTCCCGGTGAGTGCAGCCGGGCCCTGGCCCAGACCTCTGGGCTCCGCGTGTCCCCACTGGGCCCTGCCCCCATGCGGCTTCATCCAGGGCGAGCAGGCAGGAGCACCCTGTGCTGGGGTGTCTCTTGACTCACCCTGCAGCCGTTGATGAGGAGGGGCCTGGAGAGGTTGAGGGTTGGCCTCACAGGTGGTTGAGCCATGACTGGCTTCAGGAGGCTGACACCAGAGGCCGCGTCTCCGGAGCTCTGAGGGACGGCAGCGTGGGGGCCGTAGTGAATTTTGAGCTGGTTTCTGATGGGCAGAAAGGTAATGGGACAGGCGATGGAGAGGGGACAGTGGGAAGAACCCAGGCCTGCAGTGGGAGCCAGCGAGGGCTTCAGGTGGTTGTGTCAGGGGAGGGGCGAGGGACAGTTGGGAGGTGGAGCTGGAGGTGGGTTTGATCTAGATCGGGGCGGGGGAACACAAACGCCTGGATGGAGCTCGGTCTCTCTTTTGGGGGCCGTGGGGAGCCACAGCAGGATCAAGAGTAACTGGGCAGACATGCACTTTGGGAAGGGCACGGTGACGACAGATGTGAGGCGGGGAGGCCGCTCAGGTACGCGCATACCGTGGCCCTCACGTTTGTCGCATCCACAGACCACCTGCAATCTTAGTTACTGTGTTTTTCCTCCTTTAAATGAGTTCACCTGCCGTAAGTAGAAATAAAAATACAATGAAAGCAACGTGATACTGGGAAGTTTTAGATTCTGTTGTCTGCTCTTTGCTAAGAACAGAGGGCAGCAAGGCAAGGGAGCAGGGCTGCAGACACGTCGGCGCTTTGTGGGTCCCCTGAGCCAGAAAGGGCTCTGGTGACCTGGGGTCAAGGAGCTGCCTTGTGGTGACTGCCCCCCCGCCCCCCCAGTATTACACCTGTAGCTGCATCCTGGCCTTTGTCGCTTGCTCGGTCTTCCTGCGGATGAGCCTGGAGCTGAAGGTCGTGATGTTGACAGCGGGCCTGGTGACCTACCTGGTGGTCTTCAATATCTCCCCGTGCTGGAAGTCGCACTGCTCGGACTACGGCCAGGCCAACCTCACCAAGACCAACGGAACCCTCAGGTGAGGCCCCAAGCACCCCCTGCTCACCGCCGGGACCCCAGTCCCACTGTCCGTCTCCACTGTGGTCGTGGCAGACCCTTGCTTCGGTTTGGCTGTTGTTTCAAACTGTGGTGCGTTTGCACTCACGGTCCCATCTGGGCTGGGCACCTTGAGGGGCTGGATCGGCAGGTGGCCTGGTTTCCATGTTACAGAAGAGGAAGTGTTGGTCCCAGGTCTGTACACTCAGAGCCCAAAGTGTGACTCACTTGCAGGTTCTTTGGAGGACACCCCCCATCCCACGGAGGCTTCCTGGGACATCCCGTCCCTACCCCATCCTGGGGGTGTGGACTGGGGAGGCTTCAGTTTTAGCCCAGTCCCCACCTTGAGTCGTGTCCCTGATCCCCACAGAGTTCTGGAAAGAACAGTTGTCCCTGGTCTGTCCCTGGACAGGCGGCTGACACCTGTGTGGGGAGGGATGGTGTGTGTGCGCCTCTGGGGCCAGACTGAGAGGGGCCTGGCTCCCCTTGAACTAAAAGGCTGGAGTCTGGGGACCCAGAACAAAATCTGCTCCCGTGGGGCAACTGGCACCTGCAAACTCCTACCAAACTCCAAGTCCCTGGCTCACTTGGAGGAGTGTTTGCCCCCTCACCTGCCTGGAGTGCTTTTCCCGCAGAGTTTGCCATGGCTATTCCGTGTCATCTGGGTGCCAGCCAGTCACACGTCTTTGCTTTGCAAGCTGGAGTTGCTTGTTTAGTATCTGTGCCGTGAGGGTGTGAGCTCTGAGGGCAGCGCTCTGTCCTGTTCATGCCTTTCTGGCTCTGGGGGAGCTGGGAGTGACCCCTGCCTTTCCCCTGCATGTCCAGCAGCTCCTCATTGTGTTTGTGGAAGGATCTGAAGGTGATGATCAACTTCTACCTGGTTCTGTTTTACGTCACCCTCATCATGCTCTCCAGACAGGTACAGCCCGGGAGGCCCTGGCTCGGCTTGGAGAGAGAACTGGGGTGGGGCCGGAGCTTCTGCAGATTTGGGGCTGCACCAAAGGCAGCGGACAGCCCTGCAGGAAGCCCTGGTCCCCAGGGAAGGGATCCCCGAGTCCTCACCTCCCTGTGTCGCCTCCTCTCAGGACGCCAGTGACATCTGGTTGTGTGGGTCACTTGAGAACCGAGTCAAGGCTGACTGGGATTCTAAGGCCATTGGGAGGTGGCTGTTGAGCTGGGATGCAGGGTAGAAGTGCTGAGGGGCTGGCCAGTGGCCCCTGGGGGTTACAAGTGTGTCCTGCCCGCTGCTCGGTGTGTGTCATCGCCGTGCCCCAACTCACCACGGCTGGGGCCCTGACCTTCCCCACTGTCTGCAGATTGACTACTACTGCCGCTTGGACTGTTTGTGGAAGAAGAAGTTCAAGAAGGAACATGAGGAGTTTGAAACCATGGAGAACGTGAACCGCCTTCTTCTGGAGAATGTCTTGCCAGCCCACGTGGCCGCTCACTTCATCGGCGACAAGTTAAATGAGGTGTGGTGCCGGCAGGGGCTGGGTGACAAGGGTGGGGAGTGTGGGTATGGATATGGTCCTGGGGCCCTCACGTCTGGGGGGGCCTTGGTTGTCGGCCCTGGGAGATGGGGCCGCCAGGCAGTTTGAGCATCAGCTGCACGTCCAGGTCTTTGTGGGCTGGGCGGCCCGTGTGGATGAAAATGTGTTTCATGGGTTCTGTGCAGCAGCGTTTTATAGGAGAGACAGGCCCCAGGCCCCCTGACCGTGACCTTTGCCTGCCCCAGGGGCTCGCATCCTCAGCCAGGAGACCCAGGATACCAGAGCCAGAACCACTCTGAGCCCGCCCCACCCCACCCAGTGGACTTAGACTTATTTTTTAGCAGCCCCTAGATGGGTGTCATGTGTAAGGCAGGCTGAGCGACACTGGCCAGCTGGCACAAGGTGGTTCCCCCCCCCCCATCCAGGACTGGTACCATCAGTCCTACGACTGCGTGTGTGTCATGTTTGCGTCCGTACCGGACTTCAAAGTCTTCTACACAGAGTGTGATGTCAACAAGGAGGGGCTGGAGTGTCTGCGCCTGCTCAACGAGATCATCGCTGACTTCGATGAGGTACGGGCCCGTGCACGGGTCCCTGGGGGGCAGGTGTGCTATACAAATCATGAGAGGGACACGTTCGCCTTTTTCCGTGTTTTCTTCAGTAGGCATTTTGTTATCTTCTCTGCGAGAGGCAGCTGGCTAAGATTAGATTTAGGTCCTTGAAGAAGGCAGCGGTCCCCTTATCTGCGGCTTCTTAGCCGTGGTCAGCTGTGCTCTCGCCGATGACCCCCCTCCTGACATCTGGTCAGGTCAGTCGTGGCCAGATGCCATGCCACAGCATCCCCGTCCTGCACCTCGATTCGTCTCATCATGTGGAGGAGGAATGAATGCTATACAGGAAGGCTTTCAAAGACCATTTACGTCACTTTTATTGGGGCACACTGTTAAATCGCTGTTAATCTCTCACTGCGCCTATTTCTGCACTAAAGCTCATCACAGGCGTGTACGTGGATGAGAGAGCACATGTTATGTAGGGCCCAGGGGCCCGTGCTTCCAGGCTCCTCCGGGGTCTGGGAATGGATAAGGGGGACTGCCATAGTTTGATTCCTAGTGAAGCCCATGCCATCAGCTGTTCCAGAGGAAGGCAGTTGGTTTGGACTTTTTTTAAAAAAAGATTTTAGAGAGAGCATGAGAGCACGTGAGCACACATGCAAGCAGTGGGAGGGGGCTAAGGGAAAGGAAGGACTCTTAAGCAGGCTCCATGTTCAGGGCAGAGCCCAACATGGGGCTTGGGGCTTGATCCCACAACTGTGAGATTGTGACCCAACCTAAAGCCAAGAGTCAGAAGCCTGATGGACTGAGCCACCCAGTCACCTGGACTTTAATTTTTAGTTGCAGACAATAGACATTCCTGGGTAGATCCTGCTGGGCTGCGCTTGCTCCTTAGAATGAGACTGCAGAGGTGAATGGGAGGCCAAGGGGGCAGGGAGAGAGCCAGAGGCCTTGTCCATGTGTGTACTCGGCTCTCCACTCATAAGGGGAGGCCCAACGTGAGAAAGGCAGGCATTAGGAGCAGTGGTGGGATGGACCCCACCCCTTCTCAGACCCTGGGTGTCCCTTTGCTCCACAGCTGCTCCTAAAGCCCAAGTTCAGCAGTGTTGAGAAGATCAAGACCATTGGCAGCACATACATGGCAGCTGCGGGGCTCAGCAGCCCCTCAGGGACTGAGAACCAGGTACTGAGCCATGCGGGTGGCCTCCTGTCCCAGCCTCATATTAAGGGGATTCAACAGACAGTCCCCAGACCTATCACCTGACTTCGAAGGGACACCCCTTCCTGTCCTGTGAGGGAGGGGCCGAAGACCTCATGGTTTGGCTTGGGGGAGGCGCCTCACACCCACCTGACACCTGGTGGAGGTGGGAGTCGGGCCCGGGATCCTATGGCTCCTGTGCACAGCGCTCTATCCTGCAGGACCTGGAGCGGCAACACGCGCACATTGGCATCATGGTGGAGTTCAGCATTGCCCTGATGAGCAAGCTGGATGGCATCAACCGGCATTCCTTCAACTCCTTCCGCCTCCGAGTTGGTGAGGGCCCAGAGGGCGGGCCGGGCTTGGGGTGGGAGGCTGTGGCCTTGCCTCCTGGCAAGCCCACGCTCAGATGGGATGATGCACTTCACTGTTGAGCAGGAAAGGTTTGAAAAATCCCTCTTGGTCTTACCACCCTGGCGACTGGGCAATTACTCTTTGCATATTGTTTATAAAGTTACTTTTGAAAGTTGTGAGATTAGAATAGAACACTACAGAAAATGGAGAACCCAAAATCACCCGCCATAAACCTTAAAACATCCTGAGAACAAAGCAAAGTTAATGAACTAACTGCTCTGTGTTAGCTAGCAGGGCTGGTGCTCAAAGCCCACCGGCTCTGTTGGGAAAGGAGCTGATGCTCACCTCAGTCCGACTCCTGGAGCAAGCAGGCGGAAAAGGGCTGCCCAGGGAGTGCCTCCCCCACACCCTGGAGGAGAGCTCCTGTCATGGGCTTGGGAAGCCCCCTCTGACCCCCATTTCAGCTGCCAGTCGGTGCTTTCTGTGGCTGCTGCTGGACTCTGCCCCTCCCCCCCACCCCCGCCCCAGGGCAGAGCTTGAGGCTTGGTCTCTCAGACCTGCCAACCGCAAATGTCACCTTCAGGCATAAACCATGGGCCAGTGATCGCCGGAGTGATTGGGGCCCGAAAGCCTCAGTATGACATCTGGGGAAACACAGTCAACGTTGCCAGCCGGATGGAGAGCACTGGAGAACTTGGCAAGATCCAGGTACAACCCAGCTGGGGCAGCTTGTGATCACAGGGAGGAGTGTCCCACAGGCAAGGGGCCTGGGCATCAGTCAGCTATGGGATCCCAGCCCTGACACGCTGCTTGGGGCTGGTTTCTACCCAACAGCAGGTGTTCTTCCTGCTTCCCAGGACCACTATCCTTTTCCTCTCAGGTTACTGAAGAGACATGCACCATCCTCCAGGGACTAGGTTATTCTTGCGAATGCCGAGGACTGATCAACGTCAAAGGCAAAGGCGAACTGAGGACTTACTTTGTCTGTACAGACACTGCCAAGTTCCAAGGATTGGGACTGAACTGAGGGCTTCTGGTAGGTGCAGAACATGCTAGAAGTGCATTTTCTTCCCTGAGGCAAGCCAAGGGGAGCATTCAGCCCCATGCCAGTCACAAAGGCATTCCAAGGGTTTGGCCATCACTACTCCGGCAGATGGCTTCCTTGCACTTGTGCTAGAGGATTTCTTGGAATGCGTCTGACCCCAGCCCGAGGCGACCACTGAGCCTTGCCACACACAGGCAGCCAGAAACTGTGTGGTCTGAGTCTGCAACACAGCCTCCAGACAGCGTGGATATGCTCACTCGTAAGCTTCAGATCCTCAGCCCGCTAGGTGCTGTGGAGGTCTCAGAGCATGAGCTGGACATACCCTGCCATGGCCTGCAAACTACGCCAGTAGGACCTTTTCTAGGTACAGAACTGAGACAAGCTGTCCAGGATGGGCTGGGTACTCCTTTCTCCTCAGCAGAGCAGCAACAGCATTCTGCATTTCTCGCACAGGCATTCAGGTAAATAGAGCTGAAAAGACTGTTTTCCATCTGTGGTTTCATGCAGTAGGGAGGAAAAACCATAATGGACATTTGTTACTTCTTGTCATCTCTAGCATGTGTTTGTTTTAAATGGGTATTAGTGGAGGTTTTATCCTTTTAATGACTTCTTAGACACTGGACAAAATATCTTCCCTCCAGTGTACCGTCTTTTAAACCACAGACACAGGAGAGCCTATCGTCCAGGGTCCATTGGTTTATGGACCAGCCCAGGTGGGGGTGGGGCTCGGAGGAGTAGTGTGTGGCTCCTGGCAAGAAGGCAAGCAGCGGCACAGCCCCGGAAATAAGGCAACCCCTTCTAGTCCCTCCCTGACCATTCACACGTTTGGGGCGTTCCCCTGCAGTCTTCAGCTACGTCTTAGTTTCTATTATAAAGGAGTGGAGTCTGTGTAGACAGGACGTAGACAACCTGTCGTGCTTCCTTTTCTTTAGTCCTCACACCTAACGTGAAGAGCTTCCAAATGAAAAGCATGTACTCCATGTAAGCGTGCAAAGAGGCTCCCGTATCTGGGAAGCCAGACCACTCAGAAGTGCTGAGACGGTCTTGTTCTGAATGAATCAAGGCAAGTGCAAAAAGTCAGGTTTGCAAGATGTGTCTTACACTGCTTCAATTCTCAAAGAATCAGAAGTCAGCTGTAATTGTGTGTCAAGGTGAGAAGGAGCCACACTGCCCATTCCTTTTTCTGAATCAGCTTCACTGCCTCATCTCCAGAGCATGCTCAGGGTTTCCAACACAGCTGCATTTCACAACAGAGTAGGGATTCCCAGTGAGGGGTCCTCCGGGAAACCCCTGCAACTACAGGAAATCTTGCATAGGGGAGACTTCAAAAAGCTTACCCAGGGTTGCAGCCAAGGGCACATAGAGCACTGAAACTGAACCCGCTGCCTGCTCAGGCCATGTCTGCGGGCTTATCAGTCTGAGAAGGGGCTTATCTTATTTGCACAGAGGAGCCAATGCACCAGTGTGGCTCTGAGGCTTGCATGTAACTGGAAGAGATAGGAATGAATTACACGAACTTGCTGTACAAAGGAATTTACAGCAAAAATGCCAAAGGGAATACCCTTACTTAAAAACCGCTTTTATGTACCAACTTTTCATATAAAGGGCTGGTTTCAGGTGAGTGCTACACTTACATTGGCAGTGGCCAGGGCTGCTCTACAGGGCTCTCCTGGGAGGTCAGGAAGGTTCTGTCGCAGATGTGATTTGGACACACCTATGTGTGCTGGGTCTCTCGGAGGTGGGCCTACTTCTAGTCTTGCAATATTCTAATTTTACTTTTTTTTCCTCCAGCAACAGAAATCCCAATTCCGAGTTCAAAAAGTAGTTACCAGTCCTATCTTTTTATTTCCACTTCAAGCCCTGTGTTCAGATAAGCACATTTTGTAAGTTCTGAGTTTCTGATGTGCAGACCATTGTGTGGAATGGACTCTAAAATGCACCTGCAGTCACTTCTGTTCAGTGTACTTTCCGGTGCCCCGGGCTCTTTACAGGTATTGTTCTATTTTCTGACAGGATAAGTAGCTTTCCTCACCCTGACCTTTTCTAGGGGTCAGGGGCTGGCTTCAAGATGGCCTCTCTGACTCTAGTGAAAGTCACACCTGAAGTTTTCTGGTTTACTCATTAAGAAAATCTAACAGAAAAGATCATTAACCACTGTATACATTGTGTATATAATAGGTCATGTACAAAAACAGGTTTTGAAAAGGTACATATGAATAATTAAGAATTATTCTGTATACTGAGTATTTATAGATTGTAATATTTGTTTCAAAATGTTGTACTTCATTTTTATAAAGTACTAGTGTTTCTACTTTGTTTAGCATTTCATACATTAAATTAGCAATTTGGAAGATCTGAATGTCCTAAAGTGTCTTGAATTTGTTTTCTTGGTCTGTTTAAGAACTGATTACTGCCTGAACTATAATCAAAAAATTAAACTCTAAAAAGATTTGATAAAATACATTATCTGAAAAATTCTGAAGTTCTTTTGGCAAATGATTTTCAGTAGGTTTTTAAAAGATTGGGTTGTCTTAAGAGAATCAGTTTTGCTAAATGTCAGTATTCAAAGACAGGAAAATAAAAATAATAAAATGGCTTCTAGCCAGGGGGGGTTTTACAGTGGCTCCATACAGCCAAGCAGGATCTTACCCTCACCCCGTTCACTGAACCAGACTATGGTGTGGTGCCTGGTTATGGAAGAGGACCGCATGTCTTCTGGTCTCCTACTCAGTTATCTGCTCAAGCAGCTGACCTTTGTATTTCATATAAAAGTAGATGACTCTTAGTTCAGGGGATATGCTGAGGCACAGGTGAGTAACAGAAACAAACAGTAAACAAACAAACTTTAGTAAACAGAAACAAACTTTCCTTTAAGCTCTGTGATTCCCTTTCTTATTTAGCTTCTCCTTCTACTGTAGTTCTAAGTGACTCAAAATGGAAAAAACAAACAGGACCACCAGAGAGGTTAGTGCTATGAAAATCCTGGTGTGATTTTTTTTGGGGAGTTGGAGGAGATTGAGGGTAGCATAGGGGAGGTACTTCATCACTTTATCCTTCTGCTTAAGAACACCATTCCCATCAAGTGTGCAGGGGGACATACACTTAAAATCATTTTAGAATCTACTAGTATTCGTTGTCCATTATTACACCATGAAAATCTCCCTAGATGGGGATTTTTAAAGCCTCTTAGCTCTGGTCTTGTTTGTGCACCCAAAGGGAAGTGGCACAGTCATTATTTTGACCTGACCATGCCCCAGCCCACTCCTCCTCCCCCTCTGGATGGCAACAGGTCAGAGTCTGTGCTATTCCTTCCTCACCAGGCCATTCTTTGAATAAATCATCCAGGTGAAATCTGATAAGTCAGGATAATATAATCTAATAACTATTTGGTTATTTCTTTAATGTGGAGTTTGGCAAATGTGGAAAAAAACGAGGGAGTTCAATTATTTGAGGGGCTTGCTTTTAACGAATGTCTAGAAAAGGCTGTTTTACTTCCTAAGTGTTTTTCTATCACTTTCATCCTCATACCCAGCTCTGGGGAAAGGTCAAGGGCGACTCAGCTGACAGCACAACACTGCTCATAGTCCCAGGCTCAGCTTTATTACCTAATACAAGTCCAATCTCTGGAACATTAAAATTAATTGTCCCGAAGTTTAATTAAAAACACAATTTACAAATATTTAATATCTTCTCAAAAGCATTTCCAAGTTAAGAATGAAAAAAATATGTACATAATATATAATGAAATACCAGTTAGCTTCAAATCCCATCAGGTCCACACTCAGCAACATCAGTCTTTTTAGGTTCTTCAAAATCTGAAAGGAAAAGTTATGGCTTCATTCAGCACTTTCCCCCTTTTAATTAAAAGGTAAAAGTATCATCCAGAAGAGTTAAGTGCTGACAGCTCTTCTTTACCACTTTCAAGGTTAAAGACTAGATAGATGTACTACAGGGGTATCATTGTAGGGTTTTTTGCAAATGTGGTCAAATCTTTATTTCCTTCACATCTTGTCTAAAGTATTTATAAAAACAGTTTACACAGTATCAACATGCAGAGACAAAAATCTTTCCAATGTTACTTGAGGGGAGAGGACCTGTGTTCCTTTTGCTCACAATAGCCCTCCGTCCTCCCTGGGACACAGGGCACTTACCTTTTGTTAAATCTACAAAGTTATTTTCCACGATGGGGGAGGGGATGGAAATCCCCATTGCTTTTCGAACTCCATATGTGCTGACAATATCACCTGGTGTGACTTGCTGGGCAAGTTCTTTCAGATTATTGGTCACTTGTTCAGCTAAGAAAAAGAAAAACAGTTCTAAGTGTTAAAATATGGTTCCTTTAGGTAATAAAAAACCAAAGCCAAAAGAATAATACAACGTTGACCCTGGAGTGGTTGGGACTGTGCCAGTCCTCCTGCACACAGATTTTTTTTTTTTTCTGATATACCCAGGACTGTAAACATACTCCATTATTATTTTAACATTTTCTTTTCTTTAGCTTTAAGAAACAATATAATACATGCTACTCACAGAGTATGTTAGTTGACTACTGATAGGTAAGGCTTCCAGTCAACTATTACAGGAGCTAAGTTCTGGGGAGTCAAAAATTACCTGTGGATTTTCAACTGCAGGTCAGGGAGGAGGGAAGTCAGCCAGCACCCCTAACCCTACGTTATTCAAGGGTCAATTGTGTAAATGTGAACCACGAACCCTTCATGGTTCACTTTGGTGCTGCCTGACAGTGGTTATCACTTCTCAGAAGTTCTCCCCTTTAAGTGTCTCCCGATTCTCCTCTTACCAGAGGTGCAACATACCGAGATGCATTTCCCTGTAAGAGGGACCCAAGAGACAGATCATGTTGGGAGGGGGTCTGGTGCTCAGCCGCTCGTTCTGGGCTTCCTGGAGCTCTCTGAGCAATCTGGTGGTCTCATCAAGTTTCCTCTGGAACATTTCAGCTTCTGTGTAATACAAAGAACAACAGACTAAAGAAAACACGGACATGCTTGTGTTCAATCTTGTACGGAAAAGTGAGTCCTAAGCACTGGAGTTTTGCTATAAGGCTATAGTCTTCTCTCCTCAAAGGAGTAATCCCCCTCAGATGCGATCAACACCACAGACATGCCTTACTCTTCACTGAAGCATGGCCACCTAAGATCTTCCTGTGGTGAATGCCTATGTCAATCTGTGCAAATGTGACACTAAATCATAACGGTCAGGATCGTGAAATGACACTCACCTTCAGAGTCAAACACTTCAACAGGAGCCCCAAAATTTGTTACTGCTTTCAGTGCTGTGAGCCTGTCCTGATTACTGGAGTCTAAACGCCCCGATGGCTCTATTTCTGTAATCTGCTTCAAAAAAAGAAAAAGCAAAGGGAAAAAAGGAATTATCTGAGCTTGCTAAGCCCTGGCAGTGCTAGAACGAGACATCAGTGAGATGGTTTTTGTATTGACAGGCCATATTATCCCACCCATTGACTTTGGAGTTAGAATTTTGATACATACAAAAATGTCTTTCCAGAATACTTTTATTTTTTTAATTTTTTTAAAGATTTATTTATTTATTTATGATAGACCGAGAGAGAGAGAGAGAGAGAGAGAGAGAGAGACAGACAGACAGACACAGGAGGAGGGAGAAGCAGGCTCCACACCGGGAGCCCAACGCAGGACCCGATCCCGGGACTCCAGGATCGCGCCCTGGGCCAAAGGCAGGCGCTAAACCACTGAGCCACCCAGGGATCCCCCCAAAATACTTTTAAAGGGCCATTCCTAAATCCTGGCCAGACAGTATCCACAAGTGCATACTTCTCGTTAACGACATGATGTGTCCTACACCACACCCGTCATTTGTTCCTTCGGGCAACCGTTCTGAGAAAGAGCCCTGGTACTGCCGACACCATCAAGAGCTTCTGCGGACTGTGACCATGCCTCCCATCTTCAAGGCTCACAGGCAATATTTTGGCACCCAGTGCAGATGCTCCCACTCCCAGGGCAGGGCCTGAGCACAAGATACTTCCTGGGTCTCCTCCTGGCCCCAAAGCCAGGCTGTCGGTATTACATGGGAGAAACGAAATCCTATAAAGGGTGGAGTTTTATTTTTGCAATGACAAGACTCAAGAGTTTCCATAACCTCAACACTGCTTTTGAGGAAGAGATTAGCCCAGATAACAAGTCACCCGAAGTTAATGGTTCCATTTAGACTCTGGCATTACTTAAAAAGAAAGAAAGAAAAAAAAAGACTCTGGCATTGCACTCCAGAAATGTATGTGAACCCCTCCCCAGTGTCCACCCCCTCACTCCCCTGCCCCAGCCCATTCCTCTACCTACTTAGGGGTAGGAGTGCGTGGAGAGAGACAAGCAATATATACCTACAGCTTTCTCTCTGGGTTGGCCTCAGCACCCTACTCCACCAGCTGTTCATTTTTTACCCAGCCTCCCTTCCCATCAAGATTTCCTGCCTTCCTGTTCCCTCACTAAGCACATGATCTTGCTTGAGCCTCGTTCCCTGCAAACGTGATTTCAAATGTCCCACCCATACCTGCATCCATCCTTCCTGGAGCTCATATTCAAGCTCTCCTAACCCTCAGTTACCAGGCTCACATGTGTCTGCTCTCACGCCCCCACTTCCTCGGCTCACGGAACTCTGTGTTCTAACCCCTCCTCCCCTACCACCATTGCCACCACATTACTGCTCCTGCTCCAATGATGGTTACAAACAACAGTGGCCGCCCTTACTGGGCTCATCTGCTAGCGGTGGACACTGCTGGGCTCCTTCCCGTATGTCTGTCTTTTCTACCTTACGATTGGTCTTTACCAATGTTCTGTCCCTCAGCCTCTACCCAATGTTCTCTCTGGACAATCTAGTTCACCCCTGTACACCAACACTCTTCCCACACACCTGTAACCCAGGCACAAGAGTCCCCTGCCCCCCTGCAACACCATCCCTAATCACCCCTGTGAGGGGTGCCGGGTGCAGTCGCTCTCCCTGCTGGAGGGGAGCTCCTTCTCCAGCACTTTTTTTTTTTTTGAGAGATTTTATTTATTTATTCATGAGACACACACAGAGAGAGAGGCAGAGACACAGGTGGAGGGAGAAGCAGGCTCCATGTGGGGAGCCCGACACAGGACTCAATCCCGGGACTCCAGGGTCATGCCCTGGGCCAAAGGCAGGCGCCAAACTGCTGAGCCACCCAGGGATCCCCCTTCTCCACCACTCTGATGGGAGCTCACGACGCCATGATCTGTCTCATGCACCAGGTCCTGCCGACCTGACTTCTGTATTTCTCTTGACTGTGTATCTCAATTCCCTTCCTCTGTATTGCCATGCCTGGCAGTGTTTTGCCCAGACAAGTCCCGGAATTCTTCACGGGTCTCCTCTTCCAGCTCCTTTCCCCTCTCCCCACATTTCCTCAGGGTTTCCTGTCTTCCAGGGTAACATCTCAGCTTCTTGGCACTGCCTACA